TTTTGTTATAAATGGTTTGTAGTTGCGTACATATGTAGTTTACATATGTAAATTGAATTCCTCTCTATATCCTATCTTCCCGACTTTTCAACTACAAAAGTGGTCCCATCATCGTGTAAAGTATGCCCGCAATTATTTCGTTCGAATTAATTTCACTAGGCTGGGAATCATTCTGCGGTGTTTTATTTATTACATTATTATGTTCGTATTTGTACTATTATTTAGAGCACACGTTATAATCTATATAAATAAAAATGAATCGCGCAAAACTTGAAAATGAGTGAACCGATTCGGCTGTTTTTTTTTTTTTTTTTAAAATATTCGTTAATCCTAAGGAAGGTTTTTATGAAAAGACATAAATACCGCACGCGAGCGATTAGGGAACGACGATTATCCATAATACGGTACACGTCCGCGCCTTTCCGCTGTCGAACATCCTCACTCCCTGATAGTTTAGTTAAGGTTTCACTTCCTTTGAAATCCAAAAATCCCCCTCTCCCGGCCACCCCCAAAAAAAAACAAAATTCGGGGTTTCGATATTTTTCGTATGAAAATCATGAAAGAATGTCATAACAGAATACTTTTAGTCCACCAAAGGTGGATTACACACTTTCCACCTATTTATTTCAATTCATTATACTGATACGATCAAAACCAAATAGGAATAAGGGTAAAAAAAAATAAAATTGGCATGGGCAACGCCGGGAGGGAAAGCTAGGAACCTATTTGAGTTAAAGCTTTCGACGAAAAATTGGAAATTATAATTTTCATTGGGTATCTTTGTATAGTTTTTATCGGTTATAAACAATATGTTTTGTAAATATTGTTTTTATTCGATAAGACGTTCGAACTATAAGTCACATCAGAACTTGTATCTTCCCCCACACAAAACTGTAGATATTCTGTTGAAATACGTTATTATCTAATATATTCCGGTTACTGTATTCGAAAATGGCCGTCAGAAATTTTTTCCTGATATTCGACCCTATAACCACGACAAATGTCGTATCCGACGTAATATATCGTAAGTTCATTTCCCATATCACCCCATATGATAACAAAAATTCATATCGGCGACAATAATTCTACAATTAATCAATATTATGCCAGTAGGTATTCTAAAGTGTACCTGTCCGCATCTTGAACCTCTTTAACGCCACTTAATTTTGCTATTTTCGTTTAAAATTGTTTATTTTATACAGGAACTCGTTATCGTTCCATAATACATACGCTCTTTTCGATTAAATTATTTTTCGAGTCGTTATCAGATACTTATTCGTCAAACGCACTATTATATTATTAATTTACCGTTAAAACACTCCTACATCATTTTCATATACGTTTGATTATTATTTAGATATTGAGCTGAGCCCCTTCTCTCCAATTGACCTTATTTATATATATATTTTTCAAGTTTCAACTGTAACGATAATTACTAAGTATTTATTAAGTAAATAAGTAAGTACTTTTTATTCATAAAATACATTATTTTCTTAAATGAACAATTTAATTTATCACTGTTATCTATAAGCTAACTATTTTATTTTTAAAACTTGTGACAAAACAATTGATAAAAACTATTATCAATTTTCAACCCCCTCTCCCCAATTCGTTCAAAAATCCTGCGTACACCACCGGTTAAAACTAATTAAAAAAAAAAAAGATAGAAAATAGAATAGATAAAACACACGGGTGCATCCACTGTTAAAATAATGTCACGTTTATTTTTAAGCAATGATAAACCATTACTAACGAAAAAACAATTATGAGCTGAGTTCAGTTGATAGTCATGCTTTGCAACAATATGTATGTCATATAATGGTAAAATAAATAAATAGGCTTTATATATTTTCTTTAATAATATTTGTTTAATATTGTATTGATTTTCCAGTCATTCCGTTGTTTTTCTTGGTTTTCCTGTGCTTTTTTTTCTGGTTTTTTACATTTCCTGGAAAAACTCTTGAGGAAATCTTAAAATGGTCTCTTTAAAGTACCTCCTCAGTTAGATTTTTATAAAAAAGAAAGTCCTTTTATTGTAAAAAGGAACAGAATTGCTGGTTGAATAGTTGTACACAGAAAATAAAGGCCATATTTTTTTACTAATACTTACCTACCTACATTTCGTACATTTTCCGTTACAATTTTACGACATAGTACTTCTAACGAATAAAAATTACTTATTAAGTTTGCAAAGTTTAAATGTATATAAATAGCTGAAAAATTACATACATTTTTTGAAAATTTTACCACGTCTAGATTAGGTAAATTTAAGTTTTTTAACAAAATTTTAAAAACTCTAAATTCGATATGAATATTTTTAAAGGAACTACAATAAACAACAAAATTGAAAAATAAAAAAAAGCATTATTTTCGTCAGTTTGCCGTTTTCTCATGTTTTATTCTGGTTTTCCACAGATATTATGAAAACCGCTTCGAAAATCAAAAAATGACCTTTTAAAAGTAACGTTGGGACGATATTTCCAAATATTTTTTGGGATTATATTTAAGTACGCATCTAATATTAAGACTAAAAACAATACTCTTCATACCAAATTATTTTAGAAGAGCGTCCAAAGAATTCAAGGTTACACTACAATTGCCTATACGTAACTCCTTGTTAAAAAATGTACTCCGTTTGTGCACTAAATAAATATTTACAGAAACACAATTAGGCTTAGGGAATTCTAGCGTTTGCTTTTTTTTTTTTTCTGAAATATGTAAAAAAAAAGTGAAATAGAAAACCTGTTCGTGTAATATATACAATCTAAATCCGAAATTTTATTGTGCACTTTGTATTTTCTGTTTTTTTTTTATTTTTTTCTTATAAGAGCATAAAATATTATAGCAGAATACATCCTTTAAGTGCTATAACAAGCCATTTATGGACGTTTATTAAATTTTTAAAGCATATTTTAGAGCTCAATTGGTTCTTTTTTAAAGCATAATTATATGATTTAGAATAAGAAGTATGTAAGCCTAGTCATAATATTTCTTAAAAGTATAAGTATTTTTCATTATTTTATAAAATTATTACAATTGAAAAATCACGAACAAAATATTCCAAGTTCAGAAACCTTAAATAAAATACAATATTTCTCTAAGCCAAACTTGTATATAAACAATACTAATTACCGATCATAAAGGTTGCCGACTGTTAATCGCTGGAGAAATACTCTATTTTAATAATGAATTATCGTCGTAGTTTCGTAACGACCGTAACGCACTGAGCGTTATATCCGAAGATTTATAGCAAAAAGGTACTTCGGTGCTAACCCAAAAACCGATTTCTTTTAGTTTTATATTATAGATGTTTTTGTTGCACTGAGACACTAAATGCCAGTATCGCTTCTTTTTAATAGTTCTCTTTTGGAATTTGCTTTGTGCGCCGTTGTACGTTTTGTCGGAGATCTATTTAACAGACGTTAAAATGTGCTGGCGTTATTAGTGTTCCTATTGTCTAATAAACGCGAGTCGAGATTTCAGTTTATAATGTAACATTAGTTTATTGGTTGTATTATTATACTGTAAAGTGAAAATGTAGCATTCAAATTCAAGAAACCACCGCAGTGGTGTTTACTGTCTCTGTTTTCCGACGAACAATGCAGCAAAGATAAAAAACAATGAAAATGTCTTTTAAATCGATTAACTAAGGTAAAACTCAGCATACCATTTGATGATGTGGACACTTTATAATTCTTAAAAAAGACAACTCATAATGGAAGAGTCAAAAAATAACTTTTTAAATTTTGAATGAACAATATTTGAAAAAAACACAAATTTAAAATGTTAATTTTTCCACTGCCTTGGAAATTGAATACAATTATTAATTATTGTCAGATGCAATTATAAAAAGATTCTCGGGGCTTTCCATTAGATTTTTGTACCGTACTGTTAATCAGACACGGATAAAGAGCTGTGAAGGGCCGGTAGACCATATTAAGAACAAATAAGCAAAATAAAAATGTTTCACAAATATTTAATTTAACTTCTAATATGGTCTTTGTAGGCCCGAAAACGTAACCTCTCCGGCTTTCCCTAAATCTGGGCCTGATGATACTCGTACTGATAATCATTCACTTAGTGTGTAATTCTACGCTAAATTGTTCAACTGTCAAAAACTAAACGAATATATTTCACCTTTAAAAATGTAAAGAATTAACAACAAACACTTGAAAAGTTTTGATATTTTGCTCAATACAAAAACAAAAACGTACACGTAAAATCTTTATAAATCAGAATTTAAATAAAATTGTATACCACTAAATCAATATGAATATAAAAAATTCTGTTATTTTAATCTATTTGAAAAATATTAGATTCCCAAGGTTTTTGTTTTTTGTTTGACAATATCAAATAACATACAGTGTTATAATTTCTACATAATATAGAGGAGAAAACGTTTTACAAGTAAATTAGCATGTAGCATGTAATAAATCAATATGTAAACGCGTTTATCGTATTTGATAAAATAATCATCAAGATGACAGTGAAAGGATGAAACATTTTGATAAAATACTATATTGAAAAAATATCCATGAATTTTAGAGCCCCGTCACTAAAGAAAAATTTTCCTACTGCCCATGTTTGTTTTATTTCTTCAAATGAACGTGGAAAAAGAGAAATAACGTAATTCGGAAAAATCATCATAGGCTAACAGTAAATTTTCTGCGGAATATATTTTTAGCAGTAACAGAAAATTCGATTTTTCTATTCATTAGAAACTCGACGAGTTTCGACTATACTCTCCAACTTTTGTATGTGTTTTTCCGGGAAAAAGTTTTGCGGATTTTTATCTATTATACTAAGGGAATTATTGAATTCACAGTTCCGGGGATGAAGGGTAACGTAATAGAATATTGTTTATTCGTCTACAAAAAAATTCTTCGCCATATTATATTACGTTAAAAACAAAATTACTTTATAGAAAACTAAAGTATTTTATCATATGTTTACAATAATAATTATAAGTTATAATTCTATAATAATACAACGAATAATTCAAAAATTTAATTCAACATGTTCAGTATAATTGTAATTATTAATCTCCGGTGTATGATTTTTGTGAATTAATGTACTTTTAAGTCCTAAAGTCGGTTAATTTTAGTAGTCCTGAAACAAAAATTGTATTAAAAAAAAAAAAAAAAAAAAAAAAGAAAAGACGGAATAATTAAATCTTACTTTTAAACGGTGACTTCTGGATAAGTAATATTAATATACCCCATCAGTAAATATTGCGAACCTACGTATCACTTTCTCCTTCCTGTATACTTTTTTCTATCCAGTTGAACGCTTTGATAAGAGAGTAGAACGAAGTACCATTGGTTTTGATGCTCAACAAATAGTTATCACATAGAATGATAGACCCTGGTTTCAAAAACTAAATAAAAACAATATCATTTTATTAGTCCGAATCAAAACCAATATTGGTCTGAATTATAGGTACACTAATAATAATATACATACTATTATAATTGATATATGCAAATTATTAGCTAATCAATTTAAAATCAATGTTGACATTTAATCTGATTCCCCATAATTTATTAAAAAAATTGAAAACTCTCGACAAATTTCATGACTAACTTCTTTCTTCGGTGGGTTGGCCGAATTCGCAATTTTTATGGGGGTAATGGGGGAAGACATATTACCTCATACGAAAAACATTAAAACCATATTACATGTATTTTTTTATTAATATAATAATAATATTTCGTTTATAAAATTCAAAAAATTCCCTGGATTATAATATATTATTACAGAATGAGCTCTGTCCCCGTGATTACTTTGCTCGCCGACCCATTTAATTCAAGGTCCGTCTACGCGCATTGAATGTAGGGAAGAAAGTACTATCATAACTTTTTATTTAATGTTTTATTTAAATTACAGATTTAATGTTCTAGAGTAGAGTACTGTGTAGTATCTACAAGAAGGTGCTTTACGGAACCGCCTATAAAATGAAAACGATTATTAAAAATTACTTAGTTTACTCTCCTCAACTAAAATATTACCCCTAAGTCTTTTTGAGTTGCCATGCCTGCCAATTCATATAACATACTACGCACGACGCCATCCTGAAAAACATATCAATGTACAGAACTTCATTATTGTTGATCGAGAATAAAATCAGATTGAAACAATTTTTTATTTTTCATTCAAAAACAGAAAAAATAACAATGCGTTAGCCAATGCATTCTATTCTATATCATGTTTTGCTTACCGAACAACGAGTTACAAAGTTACAATGTACATCCTCTACAATATCACTCTCGGGTATTTTGAGAGCTACCACGGGAACCTTCTTGGTTTGGGACTTAACCATCTATAACATAGTAAAATATTGTATTATTAAAGGTTTTAATTTATACATGTATTTCGAAATGTTTAACGGATAGGGAATAATTTTTATGTAAATATTATCAGGCTTCAATATGCACGGGACACTTGCTATACATAGTTTTTTAATTTAACTATTATGAACTCTATTTTTATGAATACCATTTATACCCAATAGAATTCATAATTTAGCCATTTCTAAAAGTGATCAAATGCTCAAAATATTTTGACGATTTTTTTAGTTATTTATAACATTATAACAATATTTGTTGACAATCGATAATGTAGATTTAGTAAAATATATTGGATTTATCCGGTTTCGATTTTATTTACGTAGGTGATAATTGGGCCGTTGAATTTGTCAGATTTTTCTAATGTATTTTTAAGTTAAGTACTTGGGTTGAAATAATAATTGATTATTTCTAAAAATGTATGTAAATTCCAGACATTAATAAAATATGAGCAATTTATAAAAATATTAGGTGTAACAAACCGTTTTAATGAAAATAACGTAAAACGCAAAATTTTTAAAACAAAATAACGTGTAATGGAATTTTTTTGTTTTACAAATTCAAGCCCTGCCCAAAAAAAAGCTATGAGTATGAGTGATGTTGTGCGGTATGCGGTTTTTACATGCAACCGTAAGAGTGGACTGTATAGGTAACGAAAAGGACAATAAAGCAGAGGGTGGACAGATTATAACATAGGTACTATGAACCAACAAACAATTAATTGGGGGCGTAAAAAACGAATAATTTGAACTGGTATATTATACAATAAAGAAGTGTTGGTTGCAACCGATTTAAGTAAACAAAAGGGAAGAACAAAATAGTATTATCAAACATAAAAAAAATTATCGGAAGTTGTAATAACAATAACAGTGATATCGGTGATAAGATAGGTAGGCACGAACGGTGGTTACCGGTGGCGAGTGACAGGCCGGGCGAAACGATCTCGCGGCAGGTGACTAGAACGCGACGGCGGCTTCTGGCTGGGACCGCCCGCGGTCAGTAACGAATGCGGTGCCGCGTATGTGTACCGAGCTGCGCGTGTGGGGGCGCGGCACGATCGCGGCGGCGACAAACGGCGGACGGCGACGACGAACAAAGCCGAACGGGCCGAACACGTGCGCAACGAAGACGTCGATTCGGGCGTGAGATATGCACGGCCAATAATGAACGGAAACACTCGGGGCGGTATTCGGACGTCAACAATGACGTACGCAGCCACCGGGTGTGTAGGTCGGCCGGCGCCAGGTGCCCACGCGAGACGAGCGTCGGTTAGGCACGTCGATCGCGCACGGCCGGCAACGGCGCGCACGAGTACGCGAGATGAAGTTCGGAAAACTCGCGGGTATAACCGGGCACATCCGGCCGTAAGTCGGATGGCGCCTGGACGGGCAATGAACGTCGGCCGGGCGACGAAAATCCACAAACAACGAGGGACCGCACGCGTGGCCGGTGTCGAAACGGCAAGACCGCGGCTGGTCCGGTCGAGGCGACGGAAAACGTGGCGAATTCGCACACGCAGCGAATTTCGAACCGGGAAGATTCGCGACACAACGTCGGCGGATCACACGCGGGAGCGCGTAATCTTGGAGATTTAACGGCGACCGCACACCGGGTAGCCTGGACGGTTCAACGCGAGCGCAATAACGACAACGAAATAAGCGGAAAAGGTCAGGACGCCTTTCCGTGTAACACTCGCGGGATGAACGCGAAAACGCAACATCGACGATACGGACCGGTGCCGCGGGCGCCAAGCGAAACGCCAGGGCGCCCTCACCCGACGACGTCCGGTCGACAGTTATTGGCCGAGACAACGATATTCCGTCGACGGCGGGGGTCGCGCAGATAGACCGCGCGCGCTGCATTTAAATTCAATCGTTTGGTATCCAACGGACGTAATGTTCTATGTCATTAATCATTACTGTATGGTATCAAGAAAGTGCCTTTTAATGGTTTCGACTTCAAGCCTCGATATCTAGTATAGTATTTTATTATAAGTGTGTTGGATTTTATTTGTCGTTTTGCGTATAGTGTTTCTATATTAAAATACAAAACAGAGGGTGGAAAATCGACTCTAATGACGGAGCTCTACGGCAGCTGACTGGTGCTAACGGTTTTTTTTTTTTTTTGTTATTTAAATTCAAAGGGAATGATAAAATTCTCGTTTAATTTATCTATAATTTCAATTTCAAATTATTATTTTTTTTTTTTTTACATATTAAATTGAGGAATTTTTAAAAAAAATTATCTTTAACGAAAATTGTTAATGATTGTCACTATAGAAATACAGTGTAATTTGTATCTGCAGTGGAGTTGTTATGTTAAATTTCAAAATTGGATCGTGGAAGAGTCATTTGTAATTTTGAACAGAACTACGGAACAGAAAAATCTGAAAATAACTACATAGTAAATCAAAAGAGGAATTTTTCGTAATAACAAGCAAGCAATACCCCCTCCTCTCAATAGCATTAAGAAAACTATAAATAAATTAAAAATCGATTCGTTCTTATCACTAAACTATAAATAACTCTTTCAAAATGTATTGTTATTTCAAACTTGTTAATACATAGCTATTAGTATTATATTGATTGTGTGTTGTGTTTTATTGTTTTGCTCATTTTTCTTATAAATATCATTGTTAACGAACAAATGTTCTTAAGTTACATGTAATTGGGCCTGGCTTATTTCAAACTTAAACAAATAAATAAATATGTACTCCTTAATACTTGCCTTCAATACAACTAAATCGTCAAGACCATTTGAATCCGGTTCTAACAAAGTCGGACCAACTGTTATATGGTCGCTTAATACCACATTAGAATAATATATAATTTTAGAATCCTTATGGTTTATCGCATCCAAAAATACATATACAGGTTCCTTGGTTTTAACATCAAAGTGCCTGAGTAAAAAGTTAAATACATTTGGATACGTAAATTAATATACAAACAAGTACCGTAAATCCCTTTAATTTTTTGTAAATGATTTGTAAAAAATATCATTTAAAAAACCATCATTCACATTATTATATGTATACATCGCTTCATGTGTAGTTTACATATTCCGATGGAAAGGCGTGTAGGTAGAATATAGAAATTATATTGTATTTTTTAGTAAATACCTACTATATTTATTATTGTAAGCATACCGATAAATTATGAGAAATTGGTTGTTCCAATTGTTGAATAATATGAATTAAACATCATTTCGTATATGATATTTTCGGACAGAAGTTCTGCATTATTAAAGTAAGTACTCATGTATACTCCGTAAAAAATTTTTGGCATTTTTACCAACCGCAATCATGAAGACAAAAATACACATTTTCATAAAGCAAAAATACCTACTTATCCGTAATATGTTAATGAACATATTAAAATACAATAAACTGCATTGTTATTATTTTAAATAAAATATTTACTTTTTAAGGCAAGACTTAGAAGTTATCATCCAGTTTGATCTGATTAACGCACCTTGGCACCATTTTTCATTTTCATTGATTGACATCGTTATTACCACCTGTTGAAAACTATCTTTGTGACTCATTTACAATATTATTATTCTTATACTCTTGAGACAAACGAACTTACGTGGTAAGGAAAATAGTGTTTATTAGATGCACGTTTTATAAATTCTTCTTCGGTAGTTATTGGGATTACGTTCCTCCAGTAGGGCAACATTGTGTTTTTACTATAGGCAAGTACACATAATAATAATTATATCAATAATTATACTTATTAGTCATAGTATATAGAATAACGTTAAAATTATTAGATATTCATTTTTAGCTCATTTAGAATCAGATGATAAAAATAATATTAATTGAACTGAACATTTAGAGTTTAACAGTTGTTTGGAAACCACTGTTTTAAGTGTAGTGTGTGATAACCATTGCTAAATTTCTAAAAATGGAGTTCCCTACAGTTGTTGCTTATAAGTATAGGGTGCTACAAAATTCGCTTTTTTAAGGGTTATAGCGTAATATATTTATTTTTTTTAATTAAAAAGGGGCATTTTTTGATATACCAATACTAGACATTTCCCGTTTACGAATTGGTACCAATAATTTGTTTATATTTGATTTTTTCGATAAATAAAAGATACTTGTAATGTAACTTTTTTACAGTTTTTCTAAGTTATAGATATTACCTATTTTTTTTATTGTTATTATTATTACTATATAATGAATTTGTATTAGTATTAAATTGATTTCAGTATTGTTTATTATTTGCAAATCAATTGTTATGTCGATCTCATTTAATGTAAATATTACATATAAAATTCAAGTGTTATATATTATGCATAATATTAGTTATATATTCTATAAACATACTCTTCTTCATCTGAGTCTTCCCCTTCATCGGTAGACACATCCTTTTTTGTATTTCTTTCATTTACACGCGTAAATTCAAAATGATATGGCCCAAACAATAAATCGTCAAACTTAACATTGAGTTGAAAAAAATCCTCACTCTCCACGAATGAAGTATTTTCTAGATGTTAAGAAATATAAATAGTCATAATAAATAGCTTTATGTAAATGTAAATATATACAATATTTATCAGTAGGTACAAGAATATACAATATATTATATTGAAACACCCTGTGCGTAAACGAGAAGTAAAAAATCCATTCAGAGTTCAAACACTTAATTTCGGTTATTAGCTATAATTTCTGATCACAGGGCCGAATTCTGATAAAGAGGCCGAACTGACCCCATTCTGATTCCGGCCATGTTGCGCGTCGTGTTGTATATAGTCGCGGGCGTTTCGATATTTTAACTAGAAAATAACGACATCGACGGCAACAATATCTCGAATGGAATTTCTACCGTTGCCAATTCATATTATTTTAGTTTGTGACGGCAACACATTAGCAAACATGAGACAAGTGTGAGTGGGGTTTCGTGATAAAAATGGTCAATAATTTCAACGCCATCAGTAGGCATGATAATATTTTACTGCAATGTATAATAATAACATTAGTATTGTGGCTAAAAATGTGACACTAAATTCAATCATCAGTAGCTTCAAAATCAGTTGATTTGCAATTGTGTGTGATAACATAGGAAACATTTGTGGACCGGTCCCATGAACACCTATCGAGGCTCTCGGGTTCCACCATAGCATTACCAGTCCGTGTTACATTTTACTATCTTATTCCGTGGTAAACATGGTGTCAATGTACCATACGGTTAATTATTTGTAATTTGTTTTTACGTTTCGCTACTCGATCATATTATTTGGAAATTATTCGTATTATATATTTAATTATACACAATGATTTTTCGATTAATAGACGGTTTTTCCTGTCCTAATTATGTGTGTTCTTATTGAATATTTATCGATAGAATAGCCAATAAACATTATCAAATTGATAGTTATTAAAACTAATAAGGCAATACAATCACCTTAATATAACCCTTTATTGAAAATTAATTTTATAACGCAAAACTACAAAAGCAAATGTCTCGGGCCGGCCGATATATCTTATTCGTTCATTTAAAATCTTCCGTCAATTGGTAAGACACTATTACTCAAAATATAAAATATGATCTGAAATAACAGCGTACTTGCGGATTAGTTGCACACTGCACACATTAAAATACACCATCAAAAGGAAAAGCACAACACATCACCTAGGATACAAAACCTTGTTCTACAACCTCATTTTACATCCTATAAATACAGAACACAAAAACCCTTCCTCAGTATTATTAATCAAATTACAATAAACAATGGACATTCACACTTCTGTTGAAACAGAATTTCTTTCCATGACTTTCCTCCCTGAAATTGGGAATTTAAATTGTATACAGAACTTCTTCTTTTCAATAAAAATGAAATAAATAATATCATAATTTCCAAAACACAATTCAACACACATTCTTTAATTACATCAAAATATATATGAATGCATCTAAATTAGATCATGGAATAGGATTTGCAGTAATTAATGATAACACAAGTTCCCAAAACCACCATTTTTTCTGCTAAAAGCTACGTCATATATGAAGGGGTAAAACTTGCCGAAACTCATGAAGCAAACGACATACTTATAATTAGTGACTCCTTAAATACTTTACTACCACTTAAAAAAACTTCCTCGAAACATAAAATTACTCAAAACACTTAAGCAAATTTAATACGAACAAAAAAGAACATCTTTCCATGTGGGTATCAACTAATACGGGTAGAGCTGGTAGCAAAAAAGCAGACAAATATACCAAACTTGCTATGAAAAATTTGCTCAACCCCACACTAGATAGCATACCCGTAAGTGATACATAAAAATTCTAATAAAAATAGAATACTTTCATCTTGGAAAAATCGCTGGAACTCAATATTTACATCCAACAAACTAAAAAATATTAGAAAAACGATCCAAAAATGGCCCACCCCATCCAATTTCAACCGACGTCAAGAAATTAGAATCACCCACATAAGAATCGGACACTCCTTTATCATACACTCAAAGAGCCTCAACCAATATGCGATACATGCCATATAGCATTAACCATTAAACATATAGTGGAGGAGTGCACACAATTCTCTTCAATACGCATTGACTTAAATATGCCATCCAACATAATAGAAGCATTTGATGAAAATCAAACTTCGAAAATTATCACTTTCTTAAACAACATCAATATTATTATTAAATTGTAATTTTTAATCTAATCAAATTTAAATAATTTGCAACATCTAACTTTGTAATATATAACATTTAATTTTCTAATGTGATGTATTTAATTTATAATATGTATAATCTAAATTTATACAATGTAATACCACATGACTAACAACCTTTATAGTTGCAGTCAATTTTCCTTCAATAAAAAAAAAAAAACTAATAATAATTATAATGACTAACTAAAATATTACCTATCTGGTTCTGTAACTGCTGTGTAAGGTATTTTAAAATTATTTACATGATTGATTATTTAACGAAATAAATGCGTTTAATTTGTTAAAATCGGTAAATTATTTTACCAATGATCGCCAGCATGCGAATAGGTCAGTGGTTACGGCTTGGACTAGGTTTTTGGACATGAAAGGTATACACTGCAACACAGATCCTACTTTTTCTTGTAAAGATTTTATTGGAATTGTTTGATTAACTTCTAAGATTTCTTCCTGTGCGCTATAGTATCCAGATGATTGCCTTTGTGCTATAGGAACATTGGTTATTGTCATTTCATTTTCTTCAATAATTGTATCCGGATTGATTGGATCACCTATACCAAAACCATATTTAAACCGATAGTATAATTATTAAAACATTAAAATTCATTTAAAAAGTTAGTAAAAAAAGATCGCTACTACTGATTAGACCTGTAATATATAGTTATTCGTAACACTCGTTAGACATTTAATTTAAAATAATTGATATTATCGATGAATTGACACTGCGTCAAAAGTATAGATCAGTGTTTCCTAACGGGGATAGAAGAGGACATTCCTTCCTAGTGAGAAATTTAGGTACAACGGGAATAATATAGCAATGATCAAATTGAAAAAAACTAAATATCAGTCTGTCTGTATGTCTTTTGTAAATTATAAACTACTGTACCGAATTTAACAGGGTTTTTCCACGTTGTCCCGAGAAGGTTTAAAGCTACTGAAATGTTTAAAATTCAATCCCTAAAGGATAGCTAACACAGGGATTTTGGTATTTTGTGGTATACATTTTATTGATAAGGTGTCCTTGATAACAAAGTAAGAATTATAAATATTTTGTTGATTATGTAGTATCTATGGTTAAAACGTATCTATGGTATCTATATATATGTATATATACATATGTATATTATTTATAGATTCTATATATATTAAAGCTTTAATGAAAATAGTTGTCATGGGTTAGCTTTGAAACAACTAGAATAATTTTATGCAGTTTTTCTCGCAAAACTTGCATTGTCCAGAGTAGCTTTGAAACATTTGTAATAATTGATCTGATCTGTAAAAATAGAAGATGTAACCTATATTACGAGGCGTGGCTATTAAATAACGAGACTGCTCGCCTAGAGGGCGCCTTAGATAGGTAGTGAAAAAAACGAGTAATGTGTTGGGCATCTAGATATCCTATCTATGCATGTACCAAAACACGTTTTCATCACTATTATAGTATTTGTGCAGTAGTGGTTTGAAACGAACGTGTTTTTTTCTCGCGCCGAAAACCATGTGTGACGAAAAACATGAGCAACGGATAAACGTAAAATTTTCTCGTTAACTAAAAAAAACTCCAACTGAGTGCTATAAGTTGTTAAAAGAGGCCTATAGTCAGGATTTCCTATCTCGGGCGCGTGTTTTTTTAAGTGGCATAAATTATTTTGTGAAGGTCGAGAGTGCACCGGAATCCAATTCAGTCGTAATCTAAATTAACCGTTTTCTTCAATCTCAACGGCATCGTGATGACTGAATGGGTTCCAGAGGGTCAAACTGTAAACCAACATTACTATTTGACAGTTTTGGCAACATTGTGTGAATGAGTTCGTAAGAAACGAAGAAGTATCTTGCACCAGGATAACGCATATCTTGCACCAGGATAAAGCGTGAAGCGTTATTTGGCCGCTTAAGGCACTCCAGTACTCGAACACACGTCTTACTCACACGACTTGGCACCCTGCGACTTTTACTTGTTTCCGAAGATAAAGTCTACCTTAAAAGGAATCCGGTTTGAATCGATGGAAGAGGTGAAACAAAAATCGGCGGACTCCTGAATGGTCTTACGAAAACCGACTTCCAGCACTGCCTCGAGCAATGGAAGAAACGAATGAAACGGTGTGGGGCGAAAGGAGGGGAGTATATTGAAGAGGAGCATTTGAATGTAGAATAACTTTTAAAATAAAACAGTTTTTCGTAACCAGTCTCGTTGTTTAATAGCCACACCTCGTATATTTTTTTTTAATTAAAAAAGAGCATTTTTTTATGTATTATTGATTAATCCTGCAGGACTATACTACTGAAGAGTGTGATACTGTTGTAAGCAGGAAGTTAAAAAGATATATTACATACAGATATTTAATTTGTGTGCAATGACATAAAGATTTGAAAACGTTAATTAATTCTGAGCTAAGTTCGATTAAAGATAATATGCAATGTCACAAATTTACGAATAAAATTAGAAATTTGACCGCTCAAATGTTTTCATCAATTCAGATAACTTCGGATGTACTGACAAATTTCTCAAATTGAAAAGAGATGAAACACATCTATTATACTTAAAGTAAATTCCTTGCTGGATTCAGAATCGAAATCAAAAAATCATAAGTATTCAAACATGATATTTAAGAATAATATAACATAACCTAAAGACAAAAATTCAAGGAAACTGAATAGTTGCACTTATTTTACAATTTTATTGTTCTATTTATTTTGAAAAATCCAACCAAACAGGGTATAATATGTTGGCAGGTATAAAAAAAAACCTTTTTCTACTATATGTTGTGATGGAAAAATTCGGATTTGATGAAGTTCGATAATCCGGAATTTTAAATCCCCAAATCTGACGGTTTATTTAAAGCCGGTATTTCGGAGTTTATAACATTGATTTTGAATTCTTCTAAACATTTTTCATAAAATTAAAAAGCTAATAATTACTACAAATGAATTACTACTAATAAAATAACATATGGATAGTTCTTTGGTTTTTTTCGAAAAACCCAAAGATATTTGAACCTGATGACTTGAAATGAGGTAATAATTATTAACCATTGAATCATTTAAAACTTAACTTAATTTATACCAACCCTCGAATGATAAGTGTTGGAACTTCTGCCAAATAAGTATGGTTTGGACAATTCTGATTGTATTATAAGATCACCTACCTATTAGATATTTATATAATACTAATCAATAATTTGTCTACAATATAATTTTTATGCTCAAAAAATATCACTCACATGTTATTAACACCGAATACACCAACATTAGGTAGAAACAGATATTCATGTTTGAAGGCCCAGTGAGAAAAAAATATTATATTATATTGTAACTAAATTGTTATAAACAATTGATTGCCATTTAACCTGCGATAATTTGAATTGTAAATACGTGTATACACGATCGAGAAATGAAATGAAGTATCGAATTCAATATAATCGAATAATACACACGTTTTACTGGTATACCGAATTACTGAGGATGACATCACTGAAAAATATATTACGTCAATGTAATACAGTGAGCAGTGAAGCCCAACTTTTTTCAGGTCAAAACAAAAATTATAAAAAAATACACAATATAGTTTAACCATACGTAAAACACTCACTATTTACATTTATTTTTGGTAATAACAAATTTATTCCAATCCTAAAACGCCTACCGCGTCAGAGCCAGGAATAAAAAACTTGAATACACGTAATTACGACAATGGAATATTTTTACAGTAAAGCATAAGAAGAAAAGTTGTAAGTATCATTTTATTATTTATCTATCGACTAATTCCTAATTTTTTCAACATCCAATACGCACACTCGTTGAAATAAGGAGGGGGACGAATTCAACAATCGTAACTCTAACTACTGGATATATTTGAGGGTGATGTACAAATGGAAAACCTTTGTAACATTTTTCGATACTTGGACGTTTATTTTCTCAACTCAAGTACTCAACACGGGGATTCAAAATATTATAAAATCGATAAAATGATATCGAAATTATTATCTAGGTAGGTAGATACCTAAAACAATTCTAAGGCACGGTTTTAGATTTGTTAGCAATTTTTCCGTTATAATATAGATTAATTTAATAGATAGATAATTTATGTATGTAAACGATTCGCATAGTAAACATTTTGAATGGAGTTCTATAGTGTTGAATAGACTACTACGTTTTAGATTTTAAATGGAGGAAGAACCTTATGGTTTTACAATGATGTTTATTTTTTTTTTATCTATGAACTTCTTTTCAACCTGTAATTATGCTCCAATTTACAATAGTAGCATTTATTTTGAAAGGAAATCTGACTGAGGTAGGACTTTGAAAAAGTCATATTTTTATTTTCCAGAAGTTTTTAAATTGGTATAAAAACAGGGAAAATATCGGAAAAGTGGGAGAAGGGTAAAACAATATTAGACGAATTATCATTAAAGAAAATACAATGGTCGATATATTGTATATCTCATTTATATTCACTTGTATATTTTAAAAGTGCTAGATTTAACTAAAATTTGTTTCGTTTTACGTCTGACATGACCAATATAAACTGTACAGATCTGTTAACTGATTCCTTTTTGCACCATCTTTGTATTTTGATTTTGCTTAAGAGGAAATTGCTTAGAATCTCTAAGCAAACATGACAAAACCGATCGACACATTACTGATACATCTAGTAGATTAACGAATAACAATTAGTAAATTATAATGTAAGTCGGTTAAAGATAAAAATGCAATGTTAAAATCAAAAGTGATAGTGGTTTATTTACCGCAACCATAAAAGCAATAAATAGAAAGACAGTGAACAATTTTAGGGGTAATCGTTTTTTATATTGTAAAAAGTTACATTTTGGAATAAAACTCGTTCACGTATTTCTCTGATAATTACGAATGTCTTAACACTGTGACCTGTAAAATGTATAATTACTCGGCTATTGTTAACATTAAGTACGTATGTGCACATACGGGATGTGATGGGAGTTCCAAACTCCCTTTAGAATTGCATAGCTTCTCCAAAAGTAATCGCTATTACTATATAATAAATTTCAATATACGAGTATAATAAGAGTAAAGAAGAGCAGAAGAGCNGACGTTTGATCAATGTTTCCCGACGAACAAAAAATATTGGGTATCCCTAGTTAAACTGTACCTACTGACCTATTTAATGTTAACATAAATGGTGTTTGGATACGTGTCATTTATGTTAAATGCAAGAGTAAAATAATCGTGTTAATCGTTCACGCACGTAAAACTTCTCTTGTCTGTATCTCGAAGATTCGTTTGTAAACGAAAAAAAATGTATAAATTCATGAAACATTGCTTTAAATTGAACAAGTTTTAAAATAATATATCATATACGGAATGCGATTAGATGTAGAGATAATGCCACAACAATTCTCGCGGCAATCGATCGAGTAGAAAATAAAAAAAGATTTTATGCTGCTGATGCAATGTTTTAGATGAGGTATTTACGGATAAGGAATGTACCGTCTGACGTTGCCAGTTTTTGTTTGACTGTCGAACGCAAAATCTATAAAATAAAAATGTTCACAATAAATGGAACTAACAATGGTAGGTTTTGGTATAAAATTCGGATTGTATCATGTTATCACTTACTAGTAAAATACACATATTATAACTATAGAACTGTAATAAACCTAATCCTAAACGCACGACAACGAAATAAATAATATTTTAAAATATTATACGTGAAAACTGAAGATTCAGCAGTACGGTAACATTTGGCGGCGGATGATTGGAACGAACCGCAATAACTGTGAACGGGGTTCGGACGGTAAAGTTGAAAATATATGATGCCATTTGAAAATCATAAATAGGTTGTCGTTTTATTCCGAAAAATAAGGGTAATCGAAATTAGAGTAATTTAACATTTCATTATCACTATTCCCTTTTACATAAATCATTATTAAAAAAAAAGATACAATTTTTTAACTGTAATGATTCAATGATGGGCGTTTTCGATAGTTTTGTTTTCTTTCCAAAATCAGGGTTTTCCCTGATTAAGCTTTACAATACATTATTATACAGAAAAATAATAATAACAATTAATTATATTATTCAATTATTATGAAAAAAAAGAAAGGTATAAAGACTAATTTAATTTATATCCGTATGCAATGATGTTTTATCAATAATTACAATATTTAATTGGATCTAGATTTCTGGTACAAAGTTTTTACAGCTAAAAATAAAAGGAAGGGTATGGCATCTCATCTATCGCCTAAATAGTATAACTACTGTCATTATTTTCGACTTTTTTATACACATTGGAATAACATAGCCTATCCTAACCTTGAAAAAGGCTATATAATATTTCTATTGTTTATTTTAAAATCACGGTTTGTAGTGTTTTTTTATGATTTTTTAACTTTTGGTTTCTCCGTAGTAACTGAAATACTACTAATCTAAACATAATCTAAACATAATCGCGCAAACAACTATATTAATCAAAAATAAATTTTTAAATAAATTTTATTTTACAATCGCAAATTTGCTCTCAACAATCACCACATTCATAATTAATGGCGTCCAAATTACAGACAATCGACGATGCGTTGCATGACACTGCACAACCGTGGCACAAGATATTCGGTTGGGCAGAAGCCCGGAGTGGAGTGCACCGGTTGAATCTATTTGGAGTCGTCGTGATAACGGTGGCTGCGTACTTGGTTTCCGGTTACGGGTCGTCGATTATGAGTAACGCTGTCGGACTCTTGTATCCCACGTACTTCAGCCTGAAGATGATTCGTTTGGCCAAACAGAACGTGATGGCGGAGGAATCCAATAGGACGGGCGAGGTGTCAGCCTCGTCCAGATGGCTCACTTATTGGCTGATATTCTCGACCGTCTTGATAGTCGAACATCTGGTCGGATGGATACTCCGGATGTTGCCGTTCTATTACCTGCTCAGGACAGTGTTCCTGGTATGGTGTTTTGCTTCTATTGACGCAAATGGCGCCGCGTTCATGTATGCGTCTATCATACACCGTTATTTCGGTGCCTGGTTCTCCGGCATTCCGGATAATTGATGGAGACGGTTTCCGGACATGGCAGTACCGGTACGATCGTGCATATAGGCGCCCGCATATGAAATGGACAATTGTAACGTGCCCAACGTATGATTAGAACTAAGAGAAAAAATGTTTGAAATAAATTACACACCGACTTGAGTTTATAAATAATTAATATTTTCCACACAAAAAACTACAAGTCCGATAAATAAATTCACAAAAATAATACAAGTCCAAATATTTCAATTCACAAACATCAAAAAATATTCCAAGTTAAATTAAATTTCGCACACAAAAATATTACATGTCGAAATATTTCAATTTACAAACATCGAAAAATATTCCAAGTCAAATTTAATTTCACACTCAAAAATATTACAAGTCCAAAAATATTTCATAAAATAGAGTTGCTCGCATTTGATCGAGGTGGACTCGTCTAAATTGACGATGTTTCGGGCGGCGTTATATTTGCTCTGAGGGACGTCCGCAACCCGTCGTTCGCAGTACGGCTATCTACATTATTTCGTTAGTGACAATTTTTATACTTCCTGGAATCTAAGTAATGCTCATCGGTTTGCGCGTTTTATTGTAAATATTATAACTTTATTTTACGGTCGTATCTCGGTCGCGCGTTGTTTTTCATAAGTTGGCAAATTTAAAAACGGTAAATTTTACTATTGTCTCGGTTTCCCCCTATTTTTGGTTATTGAATTCATTGTTTCATTATTTATTTTTTTATTATCTTATATGCTGTCACCGTCACTGTCGCCGTCGCGTCGTGGCTATATCTATTACTTTGTTTATGGTACATCTCCGTATTCCGTATTATTCAATATTTTCATACTATTGGATTACATGTTTGCTTTACGGCCGTCTTTTTTATGCCTATCCACGCCTATATAAGAGTCTTACCTTCCGGTTTTGGTTGTGTCCTCATTTTGAATAATAAATACTACGGGCTCACGTGCGTATACTTATAAAACAATGCCGCCCGAAACATTGTCGATTTAGACGAGTCCACCACGATAAAATGCGAGCGACTTCGCGTCACTCTGTTTTATGAAATATTTTTGGACTTGTAATATTTTTGTGTGTGAAATTAAATTGGACTTGGAATATTTTTCGATGTTTGTGAATTGAAATATTTGAACTTGTATTGTTTTTGTAAATTTATTAATTGGACTTGTAGTTTTTTGTGTGGGAAATATTAATTATTTATAAACTCAAGTCGAAATTTAATTTATTTCAAACATTTTTCCTCCAAGTCCTAATCCTACGTTGGGTCCACTACATTACTAACCGGATGGTCAAGAGAATATTGGCAAATCACCTACACTCGATTTTGGCAACGTGTAAAGTAGTATTTAACAAAATAAAACTAAAATTGTTTGCTTGGTAAAATTGCCCAATAATTTGATTTAAGTTTCCTTAGAAGTTTTACTATGTGATAAAAAAAGTTAACCTTAAATTTAATGAATTTTTATTTTGTCAGTATTCAAATTTTAAATTTGATTGAAAATTTTCAAGGCTACAGCAACCAATGAAGAGTAAAAGATGAAAAAAAGGATAACGCTATATTATAATAAATTTAAATTTAAGTTAAAAATTAATACATTCAGGATCATAAAAACATGTTTAACCAAACGTAGCTTAGAATAATTTTTCGTTTGCATCGACTCATATTTATCGTATAAAAAAATAATTTTAACAATAATTTATCATTACATACAGATATAAATTAAATTAGTCTTTATATCTTTCCGTTTTTTTCATAATAATTTAATTGTATTATTAATTATTTTTGTTTTTTTTTTCTGTTTAATAATGCATTATGAAGCTTAATCAGGGAGTACACTGATTTTGGAAAGAAAATAAAACTGTCGATACCGCCCATCATCGAATCATTACAGCTTAAAATTTGGGAATGTCCAGAAAATTTGTCGTGGCCGTCTCGCTTTATACCACTGCAGTGAGCATATTTATTATTGTTATTCAATAGCAATACTGTTATTATTGCATTGGAGATTGGAATGTAAACGGTTATTTGCGTGAGATTTTTTTGGAAAACTATCCATTTTATATTGTATTGAACATTGCTTAAATACCGTACCAACCGATCGTGTGTTCGATTTCGTACATTTTCCTGGATACACAAAAAAAAATTCGTATGTATATATTACGGTAAATGTTGTGAAATCAGTAATATTGTTATATTTGTATACTAACTTATTTTGTGCGGTATACTAAAGCAGCGGTTCCCAAACTTTTAGAATCACGNCTCAACCCCATTTTTTCTAAAAAAAAAAAAACAGTACTACAAAAAATATTTTAATGATATTGTTAATGATTATTGTTTATTACAATTAGTTAAAAAACAATTTTCAAATTGAAAATTGTATTTATTTAAATAACAAACATTTATTATTTAATTATCAAAAATATTTATTTTTAAAAAATTATAATTAATTAGATTTTAAAATATACATACTATAATTACTTTTAGTGAGAAGAATGGAACTGTTTCATTGTTTGATTTACAATATTTTCAAAATTATGTTTTATATCTGAAACTTGAATTCGTAAGTCTGGAGTGGCATTCAATCTATTTCTGTATTTATTTTTTGTATACGCATAAGAGGAAAAACCAGCCTCACAACGGTAAGTTGTTACAAACGGTAATAGAGTAAAAATAGCTTTTTCAACTAGAGATGGGTACTCNTTTTATATCTGAAACTTGAATTCGTAAGTCTGGAACGGCATTCAATCTATTTCTGTATTTATTTTTTGTATACGCATAAGAGGAAAAACCAGCCTCACAACGGTAGGTTGTTACAAATGGTAATAGAGTAAAAATAACTTTTTCAACTAGATGGGTACTCGTCCTTAAGTTCAATCCAAAATTCTTTTAAAGATCCAGATTCAAATTTCTGTTTTAAATATTACATGCTTTTAATTTCAATTAACTGCTCATATTCGAGCATGGATAACATTGCAGGGTTTTTTTTGGTTCACAAAAGGATTTTGTATCCAATTAACGTCATTATTAGTAGCAAGAAAATACTGAGACAATGATTTTTCGAGGTTTTCCAAATGTTCGATAACAATTTTTGTAATATTAGTTGTTAGTTGCAATTCGTTTTCCTTTAAAAAATCCATCAAGAGAGGAAAGCATTCAAAATTATTCTCATTTACACATGCAATCCAAAAGTTAAGTTTGTTTCTAAATGCTATATTTTTGTCTCTGACCACGAATGTTGTTATTGTTTTTCCTTGCAAAGACTTGTTAACTTGTTAACAGTTTACTGAATATGTCTGCGAGATAAGCTAATTTTATAAGCCATTTGTCATCATGTAATAACTCGAAATAACTCATAGATATAGATAGATTTTGTCCCAAAAAAAAAAATCTTTAAATCATCGCACAGTTCAAACAACCTACTTAGAACCTTTCCTCTTGAAAGTCATCTGACTTCAGTGTGAAGAAGAAGTGAATAATGCTAACTACCCATTTCTTCACATACTTTTTTAAAAATTCGAGACTGGAATGGACGACTCTTAATATAGTTTACAATACATACAGCCTCATTAAGAACTTGTTTTAACTCCAATGGCATTTTCTTACTAACAAGAGCGTGGCGATGTAAAACGCAATGACTACTGTGACATTTTGGTGCGACATTTTTTATTCTTGTCACGGTTCCTTTAATTTTTCCAACCATAGCTGCAGCTCCATCACTACATATATCGATACATTTAACCCAATCAACCTGATGTTTATTCATATAACTATCGATGACTTTAAAAATTTCTTCACCTGTGGTATTTGTGTCCAAAGGAGTACAAAGCAATAAATCTTCTTCGATAGATGTTTCAAAAATATACCTCACGAAAATAAGCAGTATTGAAAGTCCAGCAACGTCAGTACTTTCGTCAAGTTGAATAGCAAACATGTTACAACTTTTCAACCGGTTTATTAGTTGATCTTCAATATGGTCCGATATTTTATGTATCCGATCAGATANTATAAGTTATCGCACAATTTACTGGCAATCGCGTTGACACGCTTATCTAAATTCTACAAATCTACATCGTTAACGTAATGACAACGTCTATAGGTACATGAGTAACGATATAATATATAATATAATAACGATATTATACTATAATAACTATTATTTAGATTTTAGGTGAACTTTTTTTAAATAATATAAAATAATATTTTTTATATAAATAATCCAAATATAATATAAAACAATTTTCTCAACATCACATACATCTGACGGAACCCTTGAGATAGTCCGACGGAACCCTAGGGTTCCGCGGAACACACTTTGGGAAACGCTGTACTAAAGAAATCCCAAAAAAATGCCGTAACTACTACGCTTTAGAACCGCAAAATAGGTACATACTATTATTTAAATATTATATTATTATTTATTATAAAACCTTTGTATGGGTAAAATAATATTGCGAGTTTTGTGTACGACATTTACATACAGAGAGACTTTTTTTATTATGAACCAGTTAAATTTTTCATGAATTAATTTTTAGTTTCCGAACGTAGCAAGGAAGCTATTGGTAAAACAAGAACCAAAAGATATTTATTTCTTTTCTTTCTTCTAGAGTGTGGACACGTTTTTTCATAGTAAACTTACTTCGATTTTTGCGTGTAGCAAATTTTCTGGAAGCTCAAGGTATCTACCATAAGTTGTACTTTAAACAGGTCATTTTTTGATTTTTGACTCAATTTTTAAATAAAAATACTTGAATAGGAAAACGTAAGATTTCACGATTTTATTATTTTATAAAAATGGGGACGATGTTTTCAATCAAAAAAAAATTATTTAATTGAAAAATTACAAGATACCTTATTTAATGCCTTTTTGATATAATTTTTTACGGTATAGTTGCTAAAACTTTTGAGCCACTTTGGAATTTTCAGGAACTTTAATTTTTGGGATTTTTTTTGCTTTAATTCGGTTATAAATACCCGTAAAGATTTTTTTTAAAGTTCAATTTAAAGCACTGTTTCATGAATATATACATTTTTTTTTCGTTTACAAACGAATCTTCGAGATACAGACAAGAGAAGTATTACGTGCATGAACGATTAGCACGATTATTTTACTCTTGCATTTAACATAAATTGCACGTATCCAAACATCAGTTACGTTAACATTTAATAGGTCAGTAGGTACTGACCTTAACTAGGAATACCCAATATTTTTTGTTCGTCGGGAAACATTGATCAAACGTCGTGCATTACATTTCTAATCATATGTGCAAATGTCATTTGGGGGGGGATGATGATTTTTCTTGCTCTTCTGCTCTTCTTTACTCTTATTATACTCGTATATTGAAATTTATTATATAGTAATAGTGATTACTTTTGGAGAAGCTATGCAATTCTAAAGGGAATTTAGAACTCCCATCACATCCCGTATGTGCACATACGTACTTAATGTTAACAATAGCCGAGTAATTATACATTTTACAGGTCACAGTGTTAAGACATTCGTAATTATCACAGAAATACGTGAACGAGTTTTATTCCAAAATGTAAATTTTTACAATATAAAAAACGATTACCCCTAAAATTGTTCACTGTCTTTCTATTTATTGCTTTTATGGTTGCGGTAAATAAACCACTATCACTTTTGATTTTAACATTGCATTTTTATCTTTAACCGACTTACATTATAATTTACTAATTGTTATTCGTTAATCTACTAGATGTATCAGTAATGTGTCGATCGGTTTTGTCATGTTTGCTTAGAGATTCTAAGCAATTTCCTCTTAAGCAAAATCAAAATACAAAGATGGTGCAAAAAGGAATCAGTTAACAGATCTGTACAGTTTATATTGGTCATGTCAGACGTAAAACGAAACAAATTTTAGTTAAATCTAGCACTTTTAAAATATACAAGTGAATATAAATGAGATATACAATATATCGACCATTGTATTTTCTTTAATGATAATTCGTCTAATATTGTTTTACCCTTCTCCCACTTTTCCGATATTTTCCCTGTTTTTATACCAATTTAAAAACTTCTGGAAAATAAAAATATGACTTTTTCAAAGTCCTACCTCAGTCAGATTTCCTTTCAAAATAAATGCTACTATTGTAAATTGGAGCATAATTACAGGTTGAAAAGAAGTTCATAGATAAAAAAAAAATAAACATCATTGTAAAACCATAAGGTTCTTCCTCCATTTAAAATCTAAAACGTAGTAGTCTATTCAACACTATAGAACTCCATTCAAAATGTTTACTATGCGAATCGTTTACATACATAAATTATCTATCTATTAAATTAATCTATATTATAACGGAAAAATTGCTAACAAATCTAAAACCGTGCCTTAGAATTGTTTNATGTGTCGATCGGTTTTGTCATGTTTGCTTAGAGATTCTAAGCAATTTCCTCTTAAGCAAAATCAAAATACAAAGATGGTGCAAAAAGGAATCAGTTAACAGATCTGTACATTTTGTATTGGTCATGTCAGACGTAAAACGAAACAAATTTTAGTTAAATCTAGCACTTTTAAAATATACAAGTGAATATAAATGAGATATACAATATATCGGCCATTGTATTTTCTTTAATGATAATTCGTCTAATATTGTTTTATTCTACACCCAGTTTTCAGTATATTTCGTACGGTTAAACCATGTTGTGTAATTTTTTTTATAATTTTGGTTTCGACTTAAATAAAATTGGGCATCACTGCTCACTGTATTACATTGACGTAATATATTTTTCAGTGATGTCATCCTCAGTAATTCGGTATACCAGTAAAACGTGTGTATTATTCGATTATATTGAATTCGATACTTCATTTCATTTCTCGATCGTGTATACACGTATTTACAATTCAAATTATCGCAGGTTAAATGGCAATCAATTGTTTATAACAATTTAGTTACAATATAATATAATATTTTTTTCTCACTGGGCCTTCAAACATGAATATCTGTTTCTACCTAATGTTGGTGTATTTGGTGTCAATAACATGTGAGTGACATTTTTTGAGCATAAAAATTATATTGTAGAAAAATTATTGACTAGTATTATATAAATATCTAATAGGTAGGTGATCTTATAATACAATCAGAATTGTCCAAACTATACTTATTTGGCAGAAGTTCCAACACTTATCATTCGAGGGTTGGTACAAATTATGTTAAGTTTTAAATGATTCAATGGTTAATAATTATTACCTCATTTCAAGTCATCAGGTTCAAATATCTTTGGGTTTTTCGAAAAAAACCAAAGAACTATCCATATGTTATTTTATTAGTAGTAATTTATTTATAGTAATTATTAGTTTTTTAATTATATGAAAAATGTTTAGAAGAATTTAAAATCAATGTTATTAACTCCGAAATACCGGCTTTAAAAAAACCGTTAGATTTGGGGATTTAAATTTCCGGATTATCGAACTTCATCAAATCCGAATTTTTCCATCACAACATATAGTAGAAAAAGGTTTTTTTTATACCTGCCAACATATTTTACCCTGTTTGGTTGGATTTTTCAAAATAAATAGAACAATAAAATTGTAAAATAAGTGCAACTATTCAGTTTCCTTGAATTTTTGTCTTAAGGTTATGTTATATTATTCTTAAATATCATGTATTAATTATCATATTTGTAATACTTATGATTTTTGATTTCAATTTTGAATCCAGCAAGGAATTTACTATAAATATAATAGATATGTTTTTTCTATTTTCAATTAGAGAAATTTGTCAGTACATCTGTAGTTATCTGAAGTGATGAAAAAATTTTAGCGGTCAAAATTCTAATTTTGATCCGAAAATCGGGAAATTTCAAAATATTTCTCATTGAACTTAGCTAAGAATTATTTTACGTACGTTACAAAATCATTACGTCACAGCACAAACATTTAAATTATTGTAAGTTTTCTACCGGCTACATTTCTAACTTGCTGCCTACAACTGTTGCATACTTTTCATTAGTAAGGCTGCAAGATTAATTAATAGTTAAAAAACTAAATCAAGTGGGGTAGTTGGTTGCCTTGGACTTGCGTGTAGATGACTCTTTTGGACCTCTTCAGATGGCGGACGGGGTGACCGAATAATGCGAATGACAAATATTAATATTGGAGAATATATGTGCTGATTGTGTCAGCTGTCTGACACAAGATAATTTACCTCGCTACGTGAATTCACCAGAGTAGTATAAAAATGCTGATCCTGGTTCTGGTGTTGGTGCAATATCCCCACCACTAATCGCAGCTGCTCGGTACTCCGCCACCGCCACTCACTGCAGCCCACACCGTTCGCTACTCCGTACTCTGCCTCGCACAGGACGCTCTCATAGGAGAATACACTGACCCGTTGGTCACGTCGTCGTGTTCCAATGGGCATAAAATGTGAGGTGCAATGTCAGGGAATGAGAGTCAGCCAAGTCGGCGTCGGTCACTCAGGTAATGTTTGAAAGTTTTAGCGTTATAAATATAATGATCGATATGAATGTTGTATAATGTAGTATGTCTAGTGTGTGCGACTATTAAAGTAGATGGTCCAGATGAATAGTGGAGTAGCTCTCATTCATTAACAGGCGCGATATACAATGACCGCGTTCATGAGTCACTTAGCTCAATGAAAGACCGGGTGATTCCCACGACGGACTCATAACTCTTGTTCTCACGATATGGTCTCACTCTTCAGGATTTGCAAGTGACGGTGTTTCTGTGCTCAGATTTGCGAGTAACTGTGCTTCCGTGCTCAGGATTTGTGGGTCACAGTGCTTCTGTTCTTAGATTTTCGAGTCACGGTACTTCCGCGATGAACGAGAGCCCTAACGTACACGCATGTGGCCGTTAAGCTATATGCGCATTCCAGCCGTTAAAGGCAAGGGACTGGTGTATAGATACTATTAAATATACGCTAATATCGACTATTTTAAGATAATTGTTCGGGCATCGACTTAAAATATAATCCATAACATTTAATGAAACGCTTATGCAACTTAATTAAGCGTTTGCGTTATCAGGAACCTTATCACGCCTTCTGCCTTTTTTTCTCTCCGTGAGCTCACGTCAGCGACCGTTGTTCGTTGTTCTCGTCTGCTATGCCGTCTCTGTGTGGTTTTTCGTCAGACGCGCGTATAGGTATATGTTTATATTTTGTTTGCGTTCATTTTTTTTATCGTTCACGTTTTCTGCCTATTCTCGAGTGAGTACATTGCCGGGTTACTGTTATCGCCATTCTCGGTCACGTCCATGCCGCGGTGACATTTTGTGACGCTGTTTTATGCACCGGAAATTCCTCCGCTAAACTCGTGAAGTCCCGAAATCGTGCCCATTTGCTAAAGGGATATTATAAAAATGCCGATCCTGGTTCTGTTGCTGGTGCTGATGCTGGTGCCATATCCCCGTAACTAACCGCAGTTGCTCGGTACTCCGCCCCCACTACTCACCGCAGTCCGCACCGCTCGCTACTCCGTACTCTACCCCGCAGCGCAACCCACATACACACAAACACACACAGCTCTACATATCAGCCAGACTAATATAATTACCATAGATATTATCAACTTTTATCAATATATGTTACCATTATTTTACAATATTATCACTCTCATTATCACTGACAATACCACATTGGTTCTTATTGATGGATATTATCAATTATACATACCACTGCCTATATTTTTACCACAGATATTATCAGTATATGTTAACACTGGTGACTTAATATTACATGTTTAATTAACCACCCCACTTAAGTGTATGTAGGACAATGGAGGTGGTTGCTTTTTAATTTTTTGCCTAATGGATTTAATGCAACTGTTAGATCAGTCTCATGCATCTTTGCCGATGTATATTACTATGTTCATATAACCATAGTCATTATCAGTTACACAAAGAATACTACTACTACTATAATTATATTTATAACAAGAGAACGGTAATCCTCATCGACCTAACCCTCCTCTCCCACCGTCACCGCAGTCACAGCCCGCGGCGTGCCTCTCCACACATACACACACACACACAAATACCTACTTGTATGAATACTACACATTTATATACACACGCGCTCACAGAGGGTTTATGGATATATTTGTTGAGTTAATACAATTAAAAACTAATATCAGTAGGTATTAAAAAGTATATATCATTTATTGAAAAATAACTCTGCAAAGACATTCTTATCTAAATCCTCTATGCCATCACAATATATGATCATTTCAGAGGAAGTGCCTTCCCCCCACTCCATGAATGGGTTGAAAGAATCAGCTGGCTGCCCATTTTCGCTAACAGCATTAGGTTCTTCACTCTGTTGAGTCTGAATAAAAATTTATATTAATTGTATACACTTATATATTCATTAAAATGTACACATACCATATCTCCGTATGATTGGTCATTTTGGTAATATTGTTTATTCATTTCTGTGTAACAAGTATCTGTGTATATAACTGTACTTATTATTATCTAAGTGTATATTACCTATGGTCTTAAATACGTTATATTTGAGTTACGGTTCGTTAAATATTTTTTATTTTTACGTGAATAAAACATTTATAAAAATGCATAAGTGTAATTTTGCCGGCTGTAGCAGAACTTTTTGCGCTCGCGCAGCATGATGCGCCACGTAAAGATCCACGAGGGTGTTTGCCTGCAGTTTGTGCAATCAATTATATATGCGAAAAGACACTCTCGCTTATCATATGAAAGAAGTATATCGCCAAGGCAGAACAGTGTCGTGCACTAATAAGGACATCCAAGGTATGTATTCAATTTTTTAAAGGACTGTGAAAGAAATAAAAATTAATCAATCATATTTTTAGTTGACATTAGCGAAAATTCACAAATTGAACCAGACATAAATAGAGATGTTATCCCAACACCATCCTATACCAAAAGTATTTTTTTAATACGATTAATATTTTTTAATACATTATTATGATTTTTTTTTCGCAGTCGACAGTTATGGGAATGACCAAATAGAGATTACACCGGAAATAAATGTAAACAATATTCAAGCCGGACCGTCTACTAAAAGTAATATACACACATGTATTATCATTAGCTATATAGATAATTTTTTTAATTCAATTTTTTATAGATATATCTACTACACAATCATTGCCCACTGCCAAAAGACAAATTGAAAACATGCGGGTAGATTTTAGTAAATTTTAGATCGGTATTTTATTTGAAAAAGAAAACGAACATTTTAATAATGAGAATACTTCTAAGTCGAAACCTAATTAAAGCATTTGTATGACAGCAACAAAGAAAACAGGATTCAATTCACCGCTGTCGGCATTTAATGGTACGTCGAAATTTTATTTAATAAAAAATATTGAAAATGTGCACGTGTATAAAGAATTTTCGACTTGTTTAAACCCGAAATGTATGAGATTCTTTGAAATGCTGTGCAAAAATATTTGTTTTTGAAAAAACAATTTGAAAATAGAAGCGACATATAAAATACCGAATACCAAAATAATTCAGGATAGGTCATTTAAAATTGAAACACGAAATTTGTTTTTAGCTGATGATATAAACTTATTACTAGAACTAGACTTTGTAAAAATGTTAGGAGAAATCGGAGAAATAACAACGAAATGTAGCGGCTTTTCGATGGATCGTATAGATGGAATATTATTGAATATAAATAAATATATACCCTTAGGGGGGGTCACCATAAATTCTGCTTCTGGCATACATCGAAAATAAAAAAGCCACTATAAATGTAAAAAAGGATGACAAAAAATGCTTCAAATATAGCTTGCTTCCCAAATTCGTAAACCGAAAAAATGACACAAAAGTCGAACAAAATTAAGCTTGTGTAGAAGATAGGTACAATTTTTCTAAGATGACATAACCCGTTTCTTTTAAAGATGTACACAAGTTTGAAAAAAAAAATCCAGGAGTTTCAATAAACGTGTATAGTTTGAACCAAGGAAAGTCCGCATACCAATATAATATTCAAGAAAAAAATAAAACAAATAAGAAATTTCAAATAAATCAAAATCAATATTTAGTAAATCCATTCAAATTTTGCGATGAAGAAAAATACGATCACCACCATCTTTTACTTTTTGGTGACGGAAAGGACAAGACACACTATTGTAGGATAACGAATTTAAGAAAATTAGTAGGAACCTAAATGAGTCATCATGGACATAGTGTTGTATTGCGCAAACGTTGGTTTAAGTGCTATTCAAAAAGCAAAGGACCAATAACCGTAGAGCACCGGCTTAGAGAACATACAATTTATTGCAATAAGAATAAACCGTTAGTACTAATTATGCCAGCACCAAAGACATTTTTGAAATTTGAAAACTGGGGGAGGGGTACTAATAAACACCCATTTGCGATTTACGCGGATTTTTAGTGTTTATTGTAAAAAGAATCAGAAACACAGCAAAATCATAATATAAAAAAAATCCACCACCATGAAGTCATGAGCTTTTGTTATTACATAAAAACATCAGATAACGTCTCGAGCGAATCATTGAAGCAGCATAATATAGAGACTAGTCCAGTTGTATTTAGGGGAAATTCAAGTATGAGCAAAGGTGAAGTAGTGGCTAAATTTATGGACGAAATTGTTAAAGTTGCCCAAATTATTGAAAATGTATTAAAAACCAATGTACCACTCATAATGACCGATGAAAACAATAAGAACTACAGGGCGATAGCCGACCGTGGAGTGTGCCCTCTGTGCGAAAAAAAATTCTACAGTGAACATTTACCAGTTCGCGATCACAATCATTTAAACGGGTTAAATCTAAATACCTGGAACTATATACATATATATAAATCAATATACCAATTTATTAAAAAATACGCTCAAAAAACTGTTTTCTTTATAACCAGAAAATGCATCTTGTGATGAATCTTGCATTAATGTTGGTGCATAACTGTGCAGCCAATTAAACAACACTAAAAATAACAAACTCCTAACCTTAAAATGCTTTAAATTGTTTAAAATTTGCCAGATTATTTTGAAAATATATCTACCTTTAAAAGGGGTTAATATTTAAGAAGTTATTAAGTAACCCAACGAACACGTGGTTGGTTTCCTTAGGTTAATATGGTATTCCAATGTCTAAATTTTTGTTCTATAATTTGTATCAATTTATACCATCATATTAATAAGTTAATACAAGTTAATAAAATGGTATTTGTTTACAGGTATACATTAAACTGTCTATAACATTAGCTGCACCAGACCCCATTATCCTCGGACGTCTTTTTTATTTTAAAACCAGCTCCCACTGAAAAACAATGTTCATATATAAACTGTAACGCAGAGGCATGTAGATTATTTAAAAAAAAATATATCATAAATACTAAATAGAACAAAAGTTATTTCAAGATCATTGTGGGACACTCTGTATTATTTCCAATTTTATTTCTTTGTAAGTTATGATGATTAAATAAATTTAAAAAATTACCTGATATAATATCAAATGATTTATTTTATAATAAATATAATGAGTGTAATATAAAGTATATAATAATAATTCAATTTATAATATAAATAATAATAACAAATTGTATAATTTTTTATTAGTTTAAACTTTTTGAAAAATAAAAATTTAGATCACATTTTAATACTTATAACACTGAAAATGGTATTTCACTAATAGTTATTTAACTATTCAATAAATCACAAAGTTACCTAGACCAAATAGTTTACTAAAAAACGATTCCGTGGTACCTAATTTTAGTTTAAAATTGTTTATCTAATATTTTGTAAAATTTTAACTAATTAGAGTAAAAGATGTTTTAAATCGACTACTTATTTGTTTATCTCCGTTAACAATGATAATACTCTGGGGAACTACATTTGTGATTTTCGTTGATAATTAATACTGAGTCACGTGGATGAGTTTAATTCAAAACATCTGAATAATAAATTGTAATATATGTTGTTTATTTCATATGCATTATCGTTATTACGTTCTATAAGTATAGTGTTGGATAATGGACTTTCAAAATTTTTCTATGTGGGGTCCTGAAAAATAATGTGCATTTACAAGGTATCTCTAATAACTAATAATATCTCTAATAAGGTACCATCATTAATATGTTACTAATCGGGTTTCTATACCTTAGTCGTGTTATCATTAGTAATTATTGATTTGTTTGAATGTACTGCATATGCGTATTATATACGTGATATGTTTCCGCTACCTATATCAAAATATACAAAAATATTTTCGACGCAAATTTTTATACAAAGGTACTTAAGTAGAATAACGTATAATTTAACGATTTTATTAGTTTATAAAAACACAGAAAACGTTTTTAATCAAAAAATATGATATAATCGAAAAATCACAAGACACGTTTTTTGTTGCCTTTTTGATTTACTTTCTTTACGGTATCATTGATAAACTTTTGTGCCACTTTTGAGCTGTACAAGAATTTTAATTTTTGGGAGATTTTTGCTGTAATTCGGTTATAAATTCACGTAGAGACGTGAAACTTAGCAACAATACTTATATAGGACTTATCCCTAGACGTAGTAAAATGTCCAAAATTATTGGACAACTTTTTTTTTTTTTTTTAATAATCGTTAGAAATCAAATTTAAACGATAATCGTAAAAAAAAAAAATACTGTACTTCAAATTATGTATTATCGAACTGCGATTGAAGTTGTCTTTCGTCAAGTAACGACCGATCGTTGCTTACAGATATAAATTAAATAACCTTATGTATCCTACCTTCTTCAATTTTAACTTTCAACAGTGACCGCTCACATCCCTAGTATCAGTTCTTTTTTTTCAATTATGATTTATGTAAATAGGAATCATATTTAACAAAATATTGAATTGACCTAATTTTAGTTACTCTTTTTTTGGAATAAAACGACAACCTACTTTTATTTTTCATATGCCACCATATATTTTAAACATTACCATCTCAGCCCCATTCGTTTCTTTCAATCATCCGTCACTGGATTTTACGTACAATATTTTATAATATTGTTTATTTCGTTTTCGTGTGTTTAGGATTAGGATTATTACAGTTCTTCAATTATAATATGTATATTTTAGTAGTATGTGATAACGTTAATACAATCCGCCATATTTTATACCGAAACCTACCATCGTTCGTTCCATTTATTGTGAACATTTTTATTCTGTACATCTTCCTTTTGACTGCTCGAAAATCCGTTAAACTAATACCGTCAACCTCAGTCGGTGCGATCATTATTCGCAAAAATCTCATTAATTTTAATTTGAGATATTGTTTCATAAATATTCTTTTTTTTTTTTTTTTTTAAGCAAATCTTCGAGATACAGACATTAAAAGTTTCAACAAATAGCACGAACATTTTACTCTTGCGTGTAACCTAAATTTTGCGTATCTAAACACCAGTTGCGTAAACATTATATAGATCAGTAGGAAATGTTTAACAAGTGATGCCTATTATTTTTTGTTCGTCGGGTTACATCGATTAAACGTTGTTCATTGCGTTCCTTATCATAGGTGCAAATGTCATTTAGCAGGGTTAATTTATTTTTGTTGATCTCATGCTCTTCTTTACTGATATTAAATCTTCAAATGTATAATGTAGTTATAGCATTTCTTTTTGGAGGGGCTATAGTGAATGCTTTAAAGTGTTTAGCCCTCTCAACATCTCCATTATTTACACCCATGTTCCTAATGTTAACTGAGCTAAGCTGAGTTAAGCTGAGTGAGAATATATTGAACAGGTCGCAATGTTATGTGTGGATGAGTTTCATTCCAAAATATATCTTTTTACAATACCAAAAACGAGTACCCCTAAAATTGTTCACTGTCCTTCTATTTCTTGTTTTTATGGTTGCGGTGAATAAACCACTATCATTATGCAATGTTAAAATCAAAGCATTTTTTACTTTTAATCGATTTTACATTGTAATTTACTAATTATTATTCGTTAATCAACTAGATGTATCAGTAAAGTGTCGATCGGTTTTGTCGTGTTTGTTTATAGGTTAAAAAACAATTTCCTCTTAAGCAAAATCAAAATACAAAGATGGTGCAAAAAGGAATCACTTAATCGAGTTTTACAGTTTAATTGGCCAAATCAGACGTAAAACAAAACAAATTTTAGTTAAATCTAGTAAGTTTAAATAATAGGATTGAATATATATAAGATATACAATATGTTGACTATTGTATTTTCTTTAATGAAATGTATTTAATATTGTTCCTATTTTCCCCTTTTACCAGTTTTCCCATATTTTCCCTGGTTTTTCACCAATTAAAACAACTAAAAATGTAAAACAATGACCTCTTCTAAGTACCATCTCAGTCAGATTTCTTTTCAAAAAAGTGCTACTATTGTAAATTGGAGCGGAATTACAGGTAGAAAATTGGTTCAAAGATAAAAAAAAATGGACTTCATTGTAAAATCATAAGGTTCTTCCTCTATTTAGAATCTAAAATGTAGTACTCTATTTAATACTATAGAACTTTTTTCAAAACGTTTACCATGCAAACCGTTTATATACATACTGCATACTTAATCAATCCATTTTTTAACGGAAAAATTTCTAACAAATCTAAAACCTTGCATTAGAATTTGTTTAAGTATCAAGCTAGTCAGATAATATATTCGATATAATTTTATCGATTTTACAATATTTCTAATTCCCGTGTTTAGGTTTTGAAATAGGAAAATAAAGTATAGAAAAATGTTATAATGGTTTTCCATTTGTATAGCCACCTAAAACAACATCCAGTAGTTGGAGTTATGATTGTTGAATTCTTCTCCCTCCTGATTTCAACGAGGTGTACGTTTGGGATGTGGACAAAATAAAAACTTTGTCGATGGTTAAATGAAAAAACGATCCCTAAAACTCTCATTAGCATAGGATACTAGAAAAATTATCCGCTGTCGTAATTACGATTTTCCAAATTTTTTACTCCTGGCTCTGACGCGGTAGGCGTCTTAAGATTGAATCAAATTCATTATAACCAAAAACAAATGTAAATAGTGAGTATTTTACGTACGGTTAAACTATATTGTGTATGTATTTATAATTTTAGTTTTGACCTAAAAAGGTTGGGTATCACTGTACACTGTATTGAATTGACGTAATTTATTTGTCCGTGATGTCATCCTTAGTAATTCAGTATACCAGTAAATCGTAAGTATCATTTGATTACATTGAATTCGATACTGCATTTCATTTCGTGATAGTGATTACACGTATTCATAAGTACAATTCTCGCATACAGTTACAATAGAATATAATAAATTTTTTTTCACCGGTCCTTCAAACATGAACACCTGTTTCTACTTAATGTTGGTGCATTTGGTGTCAATAATATGTAAGTGACATTTTTTGAACTTTAAAATTATATTTTACACAGATTATTGATTAATATTAGACAAATATCTAATGAATAAGTGATATTATAATACGATAATAATTGTCCAAACCATACTTAATGTGCTAAAGTTTCAATACTTATTTTTCGAGAGTTGGTACAAATAAAGTTAAGTTTTATATGATTTAATGATCAGCGGAGAGAAAAAAGGCAGAAGGCGTGATAAGGTTTCCGATGACGCAAACATTTATTTAGGCTGCATAAGCGTTTCATTAAATGTTATGGATTATATTTTAAGTCGATGCCTGAACAATTATATTAAAATAGTCGGTATTATCGTATATTTAATAGTATCTATACACCAGTCCCTTGCCTTTGACGGTTGGCATGCGCATTTAGCTTAACGGCCACATGCGTGTACGTCATGGCTCTCGTTCACTATAAAAACACCGTGATTTGCAAATCCTGAACAGTGAGACCTTATCGTGGGAACAAGAGTTATGAGTCCATCGTGGGAATCACCCGGTCTTTCATTGAGGCTAAGTGACTCAATGGCACAGTCTTTGTATATCGCGCTCATTCGTATGTAAGAGCTGCTCCACGATTCACCCAGACTATCTACTTTAATAGACACACACACTGGACTTATATACCACGTACTAACTATATTATACAATATTAATTCCATACCTATCATTCTTCTTAAAACGCTTAAACTTTCAAACATTACCTAAGTGACCGACTCCGACTTAGATGACTCTCATTCCCTGACATTACACCACACACTTTTTGCCCATTGGAACACGATGACGTGACCAACGAGTCTGTGTAAGAATACACAGACGCTCTTATATGAGAACATATGAGAACGTCCCGTGGGACAACTATCACATCTAGATTTATGCGTCCCACGGGATAGATTAATTTGGTATAAGCTCCTAACCACACGGAACACATCTGTTCGGCTAGGATGACAAGGCGATGCTGAGCACGGCCTCTTGATTTTTAGGAAATTCATATGTCATATACAATTTATGAGCGGTATTCATGTCCCAGCATGGAGGAAGAGCCTGCGGATGGCGATTCCATTCACATCGTGAGCAAATTTCGCATGCACATTTCACTTTCGATGACCTCACAACTTGAGGACTTGAGTCTAGTTGTTGAACAACAACTAAACTAGTGTGTTAATATTGTATTAAAATAATCGATAATATCGATCATTTAATCTACACACTAGTGTCTCTCGTTTTTATTGTCCTAAATTATCTTTTAGATTTCCAAAATCTTATACCTCCTATTAATAATTAAAAGTATGAAGCAATAGTTAAAAGCAATAGTTCATCTATTGCTTTTGATTTTAAGTATGGTAAATTTGCACATTTACAATTTTTCTGGCTGAACTGTCTGGCATTGCCAGTGCCAAACACATATGTAATAAAATCAATCCCAGTCTAAACTATTCTAGGTAAGATCCACTTCTTTTACTAATCAGATCAAATAGTTCAATAGTTCTAAAACCTTCTAAAAATCTTCTAAACCTCGTAAAATTGGTCGAACAGTTTTTGAGTCCTTAAAGGATATACAGACAGAATAATATTTATTTTATTCAATTTCATCATCGCAATATTATCACCGCGCAGTACCTAAATTTCTCACTAGGGAAGAATTTCCCCTTCACTCACCGTTAGGAAACACTGATCGATACTTTTGATTACCTGTTCATTTATTGATTATATTAATTAATCAATTATTAAATAACAATGAATGACTATCGAGTATTACGAATAATTATTTGTTTATGTACCTTTTAAATAGAATTTGAATGTTTAAATAATTATATAATCGATTTAAATATGTTTTTCGTATGGGTGATCAAAATAATCCAGATACAAGTAATGAAGACATTAAAATAACAGCAACCAATCTCTCTACAATACAAAGGGTCAGGTGGTTATCTGAAAACCATAGCGCACAGAAAGAAGACTTAGAAGTTAATCAAAAAAATTCATTAAAACCTTATTTTGAAAAAACAAAATCAATGTTGCAGCGTTTACCTAGCATAGCCAGAGGTCTGGGCAGAGCAGTAGTCTCAAACCTATCTCCAGACGTAGCCCCAAATCTACATACAGACGTACCCATGAGATGGCGAATAATGTTGAATTTTCTTACCGAACTAAACAATGTAAACGCTTTTGTTTTGTTAAAAGTAAAGTCAATAATATTGTAAATAATTTTAAAATTTATAACACAGCAATTACAGAGACAGAAAGGTAATATTTTAGTTAGTACATTATAATTATTATTAGTCAGAGTTACTATAAATTAGATAAAGTTTATTGTTTAATCTACTGTGAAATATTCAATAAGAACATACGTGATTAGGACAGGGTAACCCGTTTACTAATCGAAAAATCATAGTATTAAACTAAATAAATGATGCAAAGAATTTTTAACAGTATGGTACACTGATATCGTGTTTAGCATGGAATGAGATAGTTAAATGTGCAAGGACTGCTACTGCTATGGTGAGAGCCGAGAGCCGCGAATGTGTATATGGAAACGTTTCGCAAATATTTCCTATGTTATAAAAAAAAAAATCCAATAACTTGTTTTAAAGTTACTTATAATTGAATTTGTTGTGACATTTTTAACCATAACACTAATGCTATTATACCATATTTCAGACATATATTATGCTTACGAATGTTGTTGAAATAATTATCTATTTCTATTATAACCCCCCCCCCCACATGTGTTTTGTATGCCAACGTGTTTTCACCACAAACTTAAATAATATGGACTAACAACAGTAGAAATTTCATTCGAGATATTGTTGCCTTCGACGTCATTGTTAATATATTTTAATATAATGTATTCTGAAAAAAAAAAAAAAAATGTTCTTTAGTTGATGTACAAGATAGTGATTGTTTGATTTTCGTTGTAATCTTCATAATACTTTTTTAAAATCCGGGAACAATAGAAAACAAATGGGAAAGTTTACAGAAATTATAAAGCTAATCAATTTTCACAAAATACAGAAATTAACATTTTCTACACACATGTTCCGAACATTCTGGCGATATTTGGGTTATTTATGGGTATTTGAAATTTGAAATTTTTTTTTTTTTTGTTTTTATGTGATAATTATTTTGTATAAATATAATTATGTGTATAAAGTTGTCTAAATAAGTTAAGATTCTTGAAAACTTAACACGAGGATTTTTTTATGTTTAACTTAATGGTTATAAAGAGTCAAACGTAATGTAAGTTATGTAATTAGTTTTTAAGCATTTTAGGATAAAATATTGGCCATAAACGTAACAAGACTGTATTTAAAAGCACTTATAACGGAATATTGCTCAGATAAATTTTTATTTCGCTATGTTTCTTTCCAATATACACTACCCGTCACTAGTATTTGCTCTTTGTTTTACATTTAAAAGTTTATTACAACTTATTCACTGATTTAAACGGCAATATTATTGGGTTGTTAAATTCAAAAATCAGTACTTAAAATATTTTTGTTTCTCATTTACGCACAGGATGTATCAATTTAATATACTGTAAAGTTTTGTACCTACTGGAAATTATTGTATATTCACTGTCTATATATAAAGCTATGACTAAACATGACTATTTGTAATTTTCAACGTCTAGTACCTTCTTCATTCAAGAAAGGTGTGGATATGTATACACTCAAATTTAAGTTTGACAATGAACTATTTGAGACAAAACATTATGAATTTAAGGCTGTACGTGATAGATATATAGCAAAGCATTTACCTATCGCTGAGGAGGATGAATCAGACAAAGAAAAGTATGTTGAAAGAACATATAACTTAATATTATGCATAATACATATATTATGATACATGATTTATATGTGAAATATTATATTCTAAGTGTAGCGAAGGAGCTTTTAGTTTTACAATACTGTTTTTTTATTTTTATATTCCGAGTGTAGCGAGGAATTTATTGGTTTTACTAAGATCAAAATTATCGGATGACTTCTTTCATTTAATATTGTTTTGAAATCAAATTTAAACAAAAATCGCAGAAAAATACAGCACTTCAAATTATGTATTACCGAACTACGACCGGAATTGTTTTTCGTCAAGTAAAGGCATATCGTTGATTACAGATATCAATGAAATAACCTTATGTACCCTACCTTCCCAACTTCTCACCTATAACTGTGTCTGCTCCATTTCACAGTATCAGCTCTATTTTATTTTAAGTTGTTTTACGTTATGAGTTTTGTAGTGCCCTACACTTATAATCGACAATTGTAGGGAAATCCGTTTTTTTAAAATTAAGCAATAGTTATCAAGTATTACACTGAAAGTAGTAATCATTTACAACTCTTAGACTTCAGTTAATATTTATTTTATCATCTACTTCTACATGGATTTAAGAATATTCGTCTAATAATAATAACATAAAATATACTATAGCTAATAACTATAATTACTAATAGCATATTTGTTATAATAATTATTATTATTATTATTATTATTATTATGTGTATATACCTATAGTATAAACCCAATGTTGCCATACTGGGGAAACATAACACCAATAACTACCGAAAACCAATTCATACAACGTGCAACTAATAAACACTTTTTTCCTTACCACGTAAGTTCGTTAATACCATGAGTATAAAAATAATAATACTGCTAATGAGTTACAAATACATTTTTTGACAGGTGGTAATAGCGGCATCAATTGATGAACGAGACAAATGGTGCCAAGGTGCGTTAATCAGATCAAACTGGATAATTACTTCTAGATCTTGCCTTAAAAAGTAATTATTTTATTTATAATAATATAATTACAATGCAGTTTATTATTTTTTAATCTGTTCAATAGCATTTTACATTTCCGCGACAAGCCGGTATTATTACTTTATGAAAATGTGTATTTTTGTCTTCATATTTGAGGTTAGTAAAATGCCACATTTTTTAAGGAGTACACATAGGCATTTACTTTAAATGATGCAGAAATTCTGTCCGATAATACCGTATACGCAATGTTGTTTAGTTCATCTTATTTAAACCTGAAACAACCAATTCCTCATAATAAGGACTGTGATAATTTATCGGTATGCTTACAACAATAAATGTAGTAGGTATTTACTAATAAATATAATACAATTACTATATTTTACCTTCTCACCTTTCCACGAGAATATGTGGACTACACATGGAGCAGAGTAAGTATATATAATATGGATGCTGGCTTAAAGAATAATATTTTTAACAAATCATTTAGAAAAAATTAAGAGGATTTACGGTAGTAGCTTGTAGTTTAATTTATTCGTACATATCTAAATGTATTTTAATTTATACTCAGGCACTTTGATGTTGAATCCATGAAACCTGTGAGAGTATTTTTGGATGCAATAAATCATAAGAGTTCTAAAAGTATATTTTATTCTGATGTAGTATTAAGCGACCATATAACAGTTGGCCCGATCTTGTTCGAACCGGATCCATTTGGTCTTAACGATTTGACGTTATTGAAGGCAAGTGTTAAGAAGTACATATTTAATATTTGTTTAAGTTTTAAAGGGCCAGGCGATAATAAGTATTTTAGCAACATTTATTCGTCAACAATGATATTTATAAGAAAAAATAGAAAAAAAATAACATACAATTTACAATCAATAAAATACTCATTGCTATGTATTAACAAGTATAGGATAACAATACATTTTGAAAGAGTTATAATTCAGTGGTTAGAACAAATCGATTTTAATGTTTTCATAGTTTTTATTTTTCTATTGGTGAGGTGGGAGTGCATTACTTGCATAATCGGGTACATCAGTACCCGATTGAATTATTAATTATATGGATCATTAAATTCAGAAAAATGTCGACGAATATAACCTAGGATTTTGTTTGATCTATTAGAAATGTTGTTGATATGACATGCAATATTAGATTTAGGATCAGAAAATAATAGGCCCATAGTTCAATGTATCATTTCATCATACAAATTTCAATCAAATGATGAGACTATTTAAGCTTTTAAAAATCTCATTATCTGGTATTTATTTCTATTAAGAATGAAATTATTTTTTTTTACACCATTCATAAGGAGATTTTAAATCAGATTGAAGTAAATCAGCTTCTACTTGGTTTTTCAATATACGGAATTTAATTATATCATATACACATACAAATCTTTGTTTTCAACGTCTTCATGAACGGCTTTTTTCAAAGTGACATTCTCTAATTATTATTTCCTAAATCTACGAAATATTTTTAAATATGATTATTAATTATACACGTTCAGTAAAATGTCACATTGGGAATATAAATATATAATAATGTAACATAGGTTTCGTTTTTCATTCTTTTCATAAATCTTAACTTTTCATGTTTATTAGAATCAAGGCGTTGATCTTGACGTTTATTTCTTTTATATTTTTTACTGTTGTAGTCTCAACGCTTGCTGAGCTATATTACATAACTAAACTATATCCGGAAAAGTATTCAACAGAAATTACTATGTTTCGATTTCCGTGATATTTTGAGTACCCATCGGCAACCTAGTCTCGGGTTTGGTTACCTCTTTCGTATCGTTAGGTGTTAATATTAAAGCTGATTCCAAGGAGTCACGGAGTCGAGTGCATAAATCGGTCATTAGAGTCGATTTTCCTCCCTTTGTTTTTTATTTTCATACAGAAACATTCTTTACAAAACAATAAATAGAACACAACACACTAATAGAACAATACTATACTAGAGATTAAGGTTTAAAGTCGAATCCATCGAAGGGCATTTCCTTGATATTATTCAGTAATGAGTAATGGCATATACATAAAACAAAACTTCTCTTATACTCGATAGTTTTTTTTTTGGGTAAAGCTTGAATTTTTAATGAAAAATTTAATTTTCTGAAATTTGGATAAATTTTAGAAATAATCAATTATTTTTTCAATCTATGAACCCAACCTTTAAGTACATAAAACATCAGACAAATTCGATTGGCTATTTATCACCGACACGAATATAATCGGAACCTAAAATAACCAATATATTTTACTGAATATACATCATCGAATATATACAAATATAGTTATAATGTCATAAATAAGTTATTTTCAAAAAGAAAGTCCGTAATAGCTAAATTAAAAACTATGTATAGGATTTGCCCAGGGCTTATTGATGCCAAATAAAATTTACATAAAAATCTTTCCCTACCTGTTGATAATTTCGAAATATATTTTAAAATTATAACTTTTAATAATTTTGTTAATATATTATAGCTGGTTACCGTGCCCAAAACCACAGAAGTTCCCGCCGTAGCTCTTGAAATACTAGCGAATGATATTGAGGAGGAGGTATATTGTTTCGCTGTTACCCGTTGTTCGGTGAGCAAAACAAGCTCTAGAATAGAATACAATATCTAACAAGTTATTATTTTTTTCGTTTATGAATGAAAACAAACAAATTGTTTTTATCAATCTGATTTTTTTTCCAATCAACAATTATAAAGGTCTGCACATTGATATGTTTTTCAGGATGGCGTTGTGCGTGGTTTGTTATATGAACTGACAGACCAAGCAACTGAAATGAACTTAAAGGTAATATTCTAAACTATGTCATTTTTAAAAAACAATTTCCTTTATAAGATGTTTCTTAAAGCATCCTCTTGTAGTTACTATAAAATGCTTCATTCTAGAATGCTTTGTCTTCCTTTTAAATAAAACAGTAAATAAAGAGTTGTGATATTAATTTATTCTCTACATTGCATACCCGAGGTCGGACCATGAATTAAATTGGTCAGGGAGCGAAGTAACCAGAAGACAGCTAATTCTGTAATCAAATAACATATTATAATCCAGCGAATTTTTTAAATTACGTAAACAAAATATATTTATATTATAATTATAATACGATTTATGTATTATGGTTTTCAATGTTTTTTTGTCCAAGGAACTGTATCCTATCCCTTTACACGTATAACGATCGCGAACTCTGCCAAAGTTTGGTATCACTGAAGAAAGATGTCAGTCATGAAATTTTTTGAAGGTTTTTAGGTTTTAATAAATTATGGAGAATAAGATAAAATGTCAACATTGATTATAAATTGCTTATCTTAAAATTTTCATGGATCGATAATAATAATATGTATATTATAATTAGTGTAACTATAATTCAGAACAATATTTTTTTTTTTTTTTGGAATAATAAAATGATAATTTTATATCTAGTTTATGAAACCAGGATCTATCATTGAATGTGATAACCAGTTGTTGAGCATCAAAACCAACGGTACTTCGTTCTACCCTCTTATCAGCGCGTTGAATTGGATAGACAAAAGTATTCGGGATGGAGATAGTGATACGTAAGTTAGCATTTACTGAAAAATTATATTAATTCTGAATTTGTTTTTTTTTTTTAATGATTTTTGTTTCAGGACTTTTCAAATTGACCTACGTTAAGACATACTTGAACATTATTTCACAAAAATCGTTCACCAGAGTTCATATTAACAGTTAAATTGAACATGTTGAATTTAAGTCAAATTATTCTTTGTATTATTATAGAGTTAAAACTTATAATTGTTGTATACATGAGATAAAATCGTTTAGTTTTTCATAGTGTAATTTTGTTTTTAACTTGATATTATATGGCCAAAAATTGTATTGTAGACGTATAAATATTATATATTATGCTACCCTTAATCTCTGGGACTGTGAATTCAATATTTCCTTAGTATAATACATAAACCTCCTCAAAACCTTTCCTTTGAAGGACACATACAAACGTTAGAGTCGAAACTCAAATTCGTCGAGTTTCCAATCTATAGAAAAATTTGATTTTCAGTTACAGCAACATATATTTTCCTTTAGAAAATTTACTGTTAGCCTATGCAAATTTTTCCGAAATGAGTTATTTCTTTAATTCCACGTCCATTTAAAGAAACAAATCGAACATGTACAATGGAAAAATTGTCCTTCACTGACGACGCTTCATTGTTCACCGGTATTTTTCTAGTATAGTATTCTGTCAAAATCTTTCATACACCATTATCTTGATGGTTATTTCATCAAATACGATGAACGCGTTAACATATTAATTTATTACATGCTACATGCTAATTCACTTAAAAGTTACACATTTTCCTCTCTATATTATGTAGAAATTATAATACTGTATACTATTTAATATTGTCATACAAAAAACAAAGACTTTGAGAATCTGATATTTTTAGAATAGATTAAATTAACGGAATTTTTTATATTTATATAGATTTATTGGTATACGATTTTATTTTAATTCTGATTTATAAGGGTTGTACGTGTACGTTATTGTTTTTGTATTGAGCAAAATATCAAAACCTTTCACGTGTTTGTTGTTAATTCTTTACAATTTTAAAGATGAAACATATTCTTTTAGTTTTGAACAGCTGAAAAACTTAGCGCAAAATTATACATTATGTGATTGATTTTCAGTTCGAGTATCAGCAGGCCCAGATTTATAGAAAGCCGGAGAGGTTACGTTTTCGGGGCTACAAAGACCATATTGTTAGTTGATTATAATATTATCATATTATTAGCACAAACGAATAACGTTGAAAGAAATTCATAATCCGGGAGGGGGGGGCACTGAAATGGAATGAACTGTTAAATTGAACATTGGACGACTAGCCTGAATAAATATCGTCCTCTTATTTCTTAATACAATACAACTGTAAAAACATGTCGTTCGAACAGAGTATTTCTGCAGCGATTAGCAGTCGGCAACCTTTATCATAAACCGTTTAGTATTGTTTACATACAAATTTAGCTTAGAGAAATATTTTTTTTTTTAATTAGGATTTTGAATTTGAAGTTATTTGTAATTTTTTAATTGAAAAATCCAATAAAATTATGAAAAATACAATATTTTATACTTTTTAGAAATATATAACGACTAGGCTTAGGTAATTTTAGCTCTAAAAATCGTATAAACATGCTTTACAATTTTCATTTTCAGTATATTTTCTTAATATGGTCTCCTGACCCTCTACAAAACTTTATCCGGGTCTGATTAACAGTACGGTAAAAAAATCTATTGGAAAGCCCCGAGTATCTTTTTATTAAATAGGGGTTTCTGCTTGAGGTGCAGATGCAGGTGCAAGGTGCTAGGTACCCAGCTGCTATACCTAATACATGACCTCCCGAATCGTCCACCTCCTCATCAACCTATTTAGTCACTCCTACTTTTCCAAATATATATTTTTTTTTTCTTTCGAAACATTGTCAGCTACTTACTCGACTTACCTACATCGTTATCATGTACCTATTGTTATCATGACTTATGTATGTATGTATAAGTATGATACATATATATGCGATTATTATTTTATTTTTTTTTTTTTGCAAACAAAATAATAATACTTCGGGCAAGCATCGAGCTCGGTGTACAACAGCTGTAGGCCGTATACCTTTCTCACCCGACTCTTGACCCCGTATATAATATGCACTTACCTGGTGTATATATTTTAATAAGTTATTATTATTTTTCCAAATAATGGTTTTTTTTCCTAACATTATTATTCTATAATCGCCTTAGTATAAATTATTACATAATTTATAAGGTCATTGACTCATTAATGACTCATTAGCAATCGTATTTGAAACTCTTGATTAGAATAATATAAACCAGACATCACAAAGGATCTATAACTATATATATATATATATACACCCACTAATCATTACCGATCGTGTACTAGTTCATAATAGATTTGTCCGCGCCGGCCAGCACACACCTGCTCGTATTTCTACGAATGTTAACGTTTCTCCGCCCGCCCGTGTAAACTGCTGTTGTGCCACATAAATATTATCGATTCGCAAAGGTTATTTTCATGTGTATTTATTATACAACTGATTTGATCATCAGCAACGACGAATGTCGACGTTTCCCCGCCCGTCAATGTCGTTACGGGACCGCCGGCCGGCGCATGTTTTTATTCTCAGAATGTCCGGCGGCTGTCGGTACCTTTGTACCGTGATGTCGTTCCGTAATTGTGTCTTCGCGCGCCCGTCGTGTAACCCAAACACCACCCCGCACTATCCCGTACACCGTCTTCGTCTACACCGTAATTATAAGTGCCTATACGAAAATATTATTTTACACGTAGGTATTACACAATCAATCGTCATCGTCTATTAACATTGATTTTTGTCAACGGTAATATAATTGTTATCATCGACCGACAGGTCCAAAGGTTAAAGACAACACGATCGTTAATTATGCGCGCGCATACATACACACTCACACACATATATACACCATTATCTATCATCGATAACAATCGATACATATGATAGTTTACAATTGTTTGTGGAAACTCATTGGGGGAACATTGTATGACAATCGATAGTTAACAATCGACCATTTCGATTGTCACTTGCTTTTGATAATCGATTTCTATTATTTATCCATGACTACGACGACGGGACGATCGATCGTCAGTAGTAATTATTCTACACGCCCGCACACAAGTTTCCCGGTTTTCTCTCTGTTTATTTTTTTCTCCATTATTTTTATCAGTGTGTTATTTTTTATAACAAGTATTCACATGTTATTTTAATTCGTTCATTTGTATACCATTTTTAAAAATGAATACGTTCAAATGTGTCTTCATGGGATGCAAGAAAGTGTTTGACCCGCCACGCTGAATCGCACGACAGTGAAAATATTAAATGCGCTCAGTATCCTAAATCGTTTATGCGTAAAGACAATCACGATACTCACGTTAAAGTTATTAATTTCGGAGGAAGGGTTGCTTTACCAGCTATTGTTCCCGACGTGCGAGCAGGACCGTCAAATATCACTGCCGGACCGTCGAACGAACGTGCTATGGACTACCGACGAGGAAAATGACGAGCTGTTTATGAAACTCGATATGGATATTTGCAACAACGAAGGTAAGATTTCTTTTATTATGCTCCATCACATAGGAAATAGCAGGGGAATTAGTTTTAATTTTTTTTTTCTTGCTGTTCCCGTAGGTGGAAAACGGGCACTCAAAGAAGAAATCGCCGGTAGTGTGAAAAAAGCAAGGATGGAAATAGATGAAACGCCTAGATTCACCAAAAAGAACGAGACGTGTACTAAGGACGAGGAAGTGGATTCTCCCTTCAGCATATAGACGGCCTTTAATTAGGAGGTTACAAATTCCCGTGCTATTTCCATAATCTATCGAACTACGACTCACATTTCATCATTACCGTGCTGGGTTATGACGCGCAAACGACTTCCGTAATATCTAATAGCGAAAAAAAATTTATCTCGTTCTCAAAGTACGCGAGCAACACCTTCACCATACGATTTATCGATACGTGCCGGTTCATTGCAAAATCTGCTTGTTGAACATAATGATCTTCCTTTTCTACTTAATTATGGTGTACCACCCGGTTCAAAGGTTAAGGAGTTGATGGCTACGTTGGATGAGAAGAGTATTTATATCATACACTACAGAAATTTGAAGCAGTCGATAGCGAACGGGCCGATTGTAAAAAAGGTAAATATGTTGGTATTCATTTTATTTATTATATTTGTTGTATCATTTATGTCACAGGTGTATAGAGTTATGCAGTTTGAACAATCATCATGGTTGAAAAACATATTGATTTGAATACCGAGATGAGGAAGAAGGTGACTAATGAATTTAAGGAATTTTACAAACTGATGAATAACGTAATATTTGGTAAGTAATTACTATTATTATTAGAACTTGTATGTTATTTTATTATTATGATTTTCTAGGTAAGACGATGGAATCTATGAGCCAGAGAACTGACATTGAGCTGGTATCGAGTGAGAAGAGAGTGCAGAAACTGATAAACAAATCAACGTTTAAACACTGTACGACGTACAACAAAAATCGATATGCTGTATCACTGGAGAATAAAATTATATATTTGTATATTTGTATTAATATTATACGATGAGGTGCCCCTGAGATTTTCCCCACGCCTCGAAATTTAATTTTCATCCGAGTTCAGGCATGACGGGTAATATTGGTATGTGTCCACCACAAATTTGTGTCTGTTGGTCAAGTGCCGCCAGCCCGCTCAATTTATTTTTAAGTTTCTGGTTGTCGAACGACGTGACATACCGTTTATAAAAAATTACTTCTTCTTTATGTGCAGTTTCTGTGATCGTACAAGACGGGACAAATTAGAGATGTAATAATAATGTGTTTTATCTTGGTTGTTAATTAGCAACAGGTCGAAATGGTCAGTCTTCTCGTCAATTACTTTCAATAGGAAAACTGTATACACCGCTTTTTTCTTTTTCTTCTTTCTTCAATCCGTAAACATTTAGGAGCACGTTCGAATTATTTTTTTCAAAATTTTCTTATTTCCTTGAGCGAGGTCGTATACGTCCGTTCGTTAAAATCATATTTAATCTCGTGTACGGAATAATTTTTGTATATGCTGTAATCATAGACTCCCGTTACGTGTTTCGTTAGAATCGCCCACTTATAACATTGTTCGTCTGTATTTTGCGGGTTGATCACGTCTTTTTTGTGTTTTATGTCTTCGGACAAAAGCCCCTATTTTAGACTACTTTCAAAATTTCAAAAAACACCAATTAAAAATGTTAAGTTTTCCATTGCCTTAAAAATGTAATACATTTAATAATTATTGTCACATGACATTTTAAAAAGATACTCGGAGCTTTCTAATAGATTTCTGTACCGTAATGATAATCAGACCTGGATATAGAGCTGTGGAAGGCCGGGAGTCTAATTAAAAACAACAAAGAAAAATAAAAAATTTTTCCTCATATTATATTAATTAAACAACAAAATTACACTATGGAAAACTGAATGAGTTTATCTTATGTCTACAATAATAATTATAATTTATCACTCTGTAATAATACAAAGTATAATTATACCTAAATTCAACATGTTCAATATGATTATAATTATTAAACTCCGATGAATGCTGTTTATGAAATAATGCTCAAGTGCTTGTATGTCTTAAAGTCGGTTATTATTAGTAGTCCTGAAACACAAAACGTATTAAAAAAAAAAACCAAACCGATTAATTTTATACGTAAACGGTGACTTCCGGATAAGTAATATTAATATACTTAATCAGTAAGGTATAACATAATGGTTATAATTATTCGGACCTAATGTAATTTATGTAATTAATATTTGAGCGTTTTAGGATAAAATGTTGGCGAAAAATTTAAAAAGGCTGTATTTTAAAACCTAACCTAACCTAACCTAACCGAACCTCACTCAGATAAATTTTTTTTTTGTTAATGTTCCCTTCCAATATACTCTACCTCCCTAGTATCTTTTATTTATATTATTTTTAAACGTTTATNATTATTCGGACCTAATGTAATTTATGAAATTAATATTTGAGCGTTGTAGGATAAAATGTTGGCGAAAAATTTAAAAAGGCTGTATTTGAAAACCTAACCTAACCTAACCTAACCGAACCTCACTCAGATTAATTTTTTTTTTGTTATGGTTCCCTTCCAATATACTCAACTCTCCCTAGTATATTTTCTTTGTATTATTTTTAAACGTTTATTACAACTTATTCACATATTTGAACAGCAATATAATTTTGTTGTTAAATTTAAAAATTAGTACTCGAAATATTTTTAATTCTCTTTAACGCACAGGATGTTTCAAAATAATATATTGTAAAATCATTTACTTACTGGTAATTATTGTATATTCACTGTCTATATATATAAAGATTTTTAACATTACTATTTGTATTTTTAGTAAGTTGTTCATTCAAGGGAGGTGAGGATTACTATACAATCTATGTTAAGTTTGACAGTATATTGTTTGGGACACAACATTTTGAATTTAATTCTTTACGTGAAAGAATTAGAACAAGGGATGTGCCTATCATTGAAGAGGATGAATCAGACAATAA